TAATTATACTTTTTTTTTTCAAATTTCTTCATAATCCTTTTGAATAGATATAAATGCGATACATATTTTGTTGATTTAACTATGACCATGAATGAATGCTATTAAGAATCTTTATTTCCTCTAATGTTTCTTCAAAATAGGTACAGCTAACACTTTATCAATAATTCTATTCATAATGTATAAATTTAGCTTTGACTACAAAAAAAAAAAAAAATAACATTATATTTTTATGTGGTAACAATGTTTTTGATTGTTTGATTTCATTGTTATCCGAGCTTTTTTTTTCTTTTTTTTTTTTTGTTCAGACTCTTTTGATTCTAATGATGAAATGTTGTTTAATATCAACACTCAACTAGAAAAAAAAAAAAAAAAAACTAAGACATTCAATTCTTTCAAAATTCATATTGGACTCTAGGACTTGAATAAATAACCAAATAGATTAGCTTTTTTTTTTTTTTTTTTTTTTTTTTTTTTTTTGAAAAAAACTAGTTTGAAGTATAAGGGCAATGCCAATGTAAAAATAAAGGAAAGGAAACTATTAATTTACAATGTTGAAAAACTTCTTTTTCATTTTTGTTCTGTTTTCAGTTAAATCCTAACCTGCCATGCTCAATCCCCACGATTCTTGTAATTCTAGATAACTGAAATTCATAAGTAACAAATGAAGTGTTTAACAATATATAACTATTTTGAATTTTAAACTAACTGAAATGATTCAATTGCAATTGCAATTGCAATTGACCTTGATTGAAGTTTGATTTTATTTATAAAAAAAAAAAAATAAAAAATAACTTGATATAAACATAAGAAAGACTTGACGGAGGTTAGTTACTTTGAGTAAAATTACAATACTGAAAAATAATTTATTCAAATAATTAAGTTTTAATGATAATTTTTTTTTTATTAACAAAACTAACGTTTAAAATATATTAGAAAATAACTATATAGTTATATAGCTATTTATATATAGTTAATTTGCACTCTGCGGTCGTGTATCGCCCGATGAGCTTTTTTTTTTTTTTTTTTTAACAGCAACAATACCAAACCCGATCATTCTTACCTAAGCGGCACCAAAGTTATATATATTGTATAGGTCAAAAAAAAAAAAAAGACCCGATAAATACGGTTCAACAGAGTAACAATATGACACCGACATTTAGTCTTTATATAGATATATATAGTATATTTTAATCACCGATCGGTCTTAATAGAAACCGAAATCAAATTGTTTTTATTGAACTCCTCCCTTTCTTCCTTCTTTCCTTCTTCTTTTTTTTTTTGTTATTTAAAAATCCCGTCTATCCGTATGGCTCTTTCTTTGCAAATTACGCCATTTCTTTTTTCTTTCCTCACTCCTTCCCTCCCTCCCAATAAATCCCTCCTACAACATGACCCCCCACAAATTTTCTATACCCACCAAACTTTTTTTTCTTCTTTTTCTTCTTTCTCACTCTTTCTCTTTCTCAACCCCCCCACTTTTATTACCTCCGCGCACAAAAATAAATTTCTCTGTCTTTAATATATAAATACTCTTGAATTTTCTTAATCTTCTTTTTTTTATTATTTATTTAATTATTATTTTATTTAATTTCCATTCTTTTACTTTTTTGCTCTCCACCTTTTATCTTCTTCTTTACATTCTGAACTTCCTTCAAAAAAAAAAAAAAAAATGGCCAACTACAAAAGCCCTCCTGCAAAAATAATCTCAATCAAGGACCTCGAAAACGCTGCTCTTCCACGTGCTTCCAAATCTGTCCGTGAATACTGGGCCGGTGGTGCTTCCGAGGAAAAAACACTTGCCGAAAATTCCTCTGTTTTTGATGAATACCGTATTCGTACCCGTGTAATGGTTGACGTTTCCCAAATTGATACCTCTGCCACTCTTTTTGGCAGAAAATATAGACTACCAATTGGATTTGCACCATCTGCATTCCACCAATTGGCCACAGATGATGGTGAAGTGGCCACAGCAAGAGCTGCAAAAGCTCACAATTGGGCTATGGGATTGTCTTCTTATTCCACAAAACCTCTTGAAGATGTCAAATTAGCTGGCGGCGACTCTGCTCAGGTTCTCCAGCTTTATGTGTTTCAAAACAGGAAAACAACTGAAGACCTTGTTCGTCGAGCTGAAAAGGCAGGATATAAGGCTATTGCATTGACTGTAGATACTCCGGTCATTGGAATCCGCCCAGCAGATATTTACAATGATTTCAAGCTCCCCCCACATGTCAAGCTTGGCAATTTTGGTGCAGACCAAGGCCCCATTGATAACCCAACTTCCCCTCAAAGTGAGACTCGTGATGCTGTCACAGATGAATCCAAGCGTGAAGATTTGAAAAACACAAACACATTGGATCCCTCTCTAACTTGGGAAGAAACTATTCCTTGGCTCCGCTCAATAACCTCTATGCAAATCTGGGCAAAGGGCGTGGCAACTGCTGAAGATACCGAAGCTGCTATTGCAGCTGGAGTTGATGTGGTGTGGGTGTCAAATCATGGTGGCAGACAACTTGATTCGACGCTGGCAACATTGGATTCACTGCCGGAGGTTGTTGCAGCTGCCAGGGGCCGTGTCCCTGTTCACTTTGATGGCGGTGTGCGCCGTGCGTCTGATGTATTTAAAGCTTTGGCTTTAGGAGCTGATTTTGTATGGGTTGGTCGCCCTGTTCTTTATGGTTTGTTGTATGATGGTCAAAATGGTGTAGAGTTAATGCAGACCATTTTTGAGACAGAGCTAGCCAACATTATGATGTTTGCTGGAACCACCAGCATTAAGGAGATTGATAGTCGGCGGCTTGTACGCAAGGGTCTTCGTATTGAAAAGCTTTAGAGAAGTTTAGTTTTTGTATATATATTAATTAATTAATTAATTAATTGAGACCTATCAGGTTAATTTTTCTCAACTAGGCGAGTTACCTTTCTTGTTATATAATCTTTATTAATTGCCTTTTTAGGCGTAAGGGTCGATGGTTATATCACGTGGTAGTGAAACGTTTTTTATAAACCGTTGGTGCGGCTCACTACAAGGGGTAAGGTTAAGTTTTAAAGTGTAAGTCTTATTAATACGTGTTAATAATAATAATTTTAAAAGTAAATTTTTTTTTTTTTACTTGTCCTTTTTTATTTTATTTCTTTTTACTTGTCCTTTTTTTTTTTTTAAAAAAAACCTCCCATAAATACTTGAAATAAAATCACCACGTAAGGGAAATTTTGGTTGGAAAAAAAAAATACCTTTAAAAGACTAGAGTTTTTCCATTCTTTTCTTATTAAAAAAAAAAAAAAAAAACTTCCAACTTTTTGACACTCCTTTTTTTTTTAAATTTTTTTTTTTTGGTTATTTACAACCCATTTTTTGTTTTTTTGTTTTTTGTTTTTGTTTTTGCTTTTATTTATTCCATCATTATCAATCAATATATCCCGCTTCTAGACAAGCTTGTGATAACGATCTTAAATACCCTCCCTCCTCAACCACAATGGACCGACCTGAAGCTATCTTTCGTAAGTTCCATTAAAACATCTTTTACTACCTAACTAATAATCCTTTTTAAAGGCTCAGCGGACATGTCGCTGGTTCAGCTTTACGTTCCTAATGAGATTGCGCGCCAGATCGTCGCGTCCTTAGGTGAGCTCGGCACTATTCAATTTCGCGATGTACGTATCCCTTTTTTTTTTTTTTATTTTTAAAAATTTAAAAAAAAAAAAAAACCCCTCATGTCTCCCATAATAACACCCATTCTACTGTATTCCAGCTCAACTCTTCTCTCAGCATTTTTCAAAGAACTTATGTTAAAGAAATCCGCCGTCTCGATTCCGTCGAACGCCAACTCCGCTTCTTTAAGTCCCAAATTCAACATCGTGCCATTCCAATCCTCGCCCCTACTTCAAGTACTGCCACTTCTTCCGCAGCCCCAAACATTAGTGATATCGACCATCTTGTCGAACAAGCAAACCGTCTAGAAACCAGCATTCTGGATTTAACCAAGTCCTACGATTCTCTTGTTGCTCGCAAAAATTCACATATTGAAAAACGCCACGTACTGGTCGGCTGCGGTCAGTTCTTTGATAAGGCTAATCGGGACCCGGGCCAAGTCCGGTTGTCCCTGGAAACCAATCGCACCGGTGACGAATATGGTGAAAGTGCAGGGCTTTTACAAGAACATCACGACCTTGAAAGCCATAATAACGACGAAAACGAAGATGAACAAGACCTTATTGTATCGGCCGGGGTTTCCCCTGGCCTGGCATCTCTCAACATTAAATTTGTGGCCGGAATTATACCAAGAAATAAAGCGGACATTTTGGAACGCATCTTATGGCGAACCCTTCGTGGCAATCTTTACATGAACAAGGTACCCATTGACGACACTTTTACAGACCCCATTACGGGCAATGAAATCACCAAGGACATTTTCATTGTGTTTGCCCATGGCGATATGATTCTTAAACGGATTCGGAGGATATGCGAATCTCTAGGTGCGTCTATCCATTCTGTCGACGAGAGCATGGCCCGACGGCGTGAAGAAGTGCAACACATGAATGCCATGATTAGCGATCTTGAAACAGTCATCCACAGTACTAGCTTACACCTTTCGACGGAGCTGCGGTATGTTGCCGACAGACTTGCAGAGTGGTTTGTAGTTGTGCGTAAGGAAAAGGCCATTTACGGTGCACTCAATCTTTTCAATTATGATGCCAACCGACGGGTTCTTATTGCCGAAGGCTGGGTCCCCACTGACGATATTCCCACAGTCAAGAATGAGTTCCGGGCCATTTCCGAGCAAGCCGGTGCAAGCACATCATCAGTTGTGAATGAATTAATCACAAATAGAACCCCTCCAACATATTTCCGTACAAACAAGTTCACGGCCGCATTCCAGGCTATTGTTGATGCTTACGGAATCTCCACCTATAAGGAAGTCAACCCAGGTCTTGCAACCATTGTAACGTTCCCATTTATGTTTGCTATTATGTTTGGTGATGTTGGTCACGGTATACTAGTGGCTCTGGCAGCATCTGCACTGATTATTTTTGAGAAAAAGATTGCGCAAGCGCATCGTGATGAAATCTCTGACATGGCCTTTTCAGGACGGTACATTTTACTTCTCATGGGGCTTTTCAGTGTGTACACAGGGTTGTTATATAATGATATTTTCTCTCGATCAATGACATTATTCCCATCTCGATGGGCATGGCCCGAATCATGGCAAGAGGGCGAAACAATTGTTGCGACACAAAAGGGGGTTTATGCAATTGGACTTGATTCTGCATGGCATGGGACTGAAAATAATTTGATTTTTACAAACTCTTACAAAATGAAATTATCGATTCTAATGGGGTTTTGCCACATGTTTTACTCGCTGTGCTTCTCGCTCGTTAATTATCGGTATTTCCAGTCGCGTGTAGACGTTATTGGTAACTTTATACCGTCTGTCATCTTTATGCTTTCTATTTTTGGCTATTTGTCAATTACAATTGTTTACAAGTGGTGTGTCGACTGGCAAAAGGACAATTTACCTGCTCCAGGGCTTTTAAATATGCTCATTAATATGTTTTTAGCTCCTGGCCGCATTGATGATCAACTTTATAAGGGACAAGCAATTATTCAACTTTTACTTGTACTTCTTGCAGCAATCTGTGTTCCTTGGTTACTTTTAGTAAAGCCTCTATGGTTACGCAAAATTAATGCACAACCTTTGATTTCTCTCCCTGTATCATCAGATTCACGCAATAGCATGTCAGCAGCCACACGTCTACTGGCTGAAGATCCGGATAATCCAGAATTACAGTCACATAACTCATCATCAATGCATATTGAAGATTTTGTTGAACCGGATGACCATGAAGAATTTGATTTTGGAGAAGTTATGATTCACCAGGTCATTCATACAATTGAGTTTTGTCTTAATTGTGTATCTCACACTGCATCTTATTTACGCTTATGGGCTTTGTCACTTGCACATAACCAATTATCATCAGTATTATGGTCAATGACAATTGCTAATGGGTTTAGTCTAGCACAAAGTGGTGGTGCTTTTGGTATTGCAGGAATGGTTTTCTTATTTGGAGTTTGGTTTGTATTAACAGTTTGTGTACTGGTACTTATGGAAGGTACTTCGGCTATGCTTCATTCATTACGATTACACTGGGTCGAAGCCATGTCTAAGTTTTTTGAGGGTGAAGGTTATGCTTATGAGCCCTTTTCGTTTTCTTCGTGTACTTATTCAGATAATGATGCTGAATGACTGGACATGGTGGAAAGAAAAGTAAAGATGGATTAATGTAGAAGAGAAAAAAAAAGAAAGAAAAAAAAAAAAAGCGCATTCATTAAAATATATACCAATTTTTTTATTTATATTTTGTACATACAGAGATTCGTGGTCGCATCAAGAAAAAAGAAAAAGGAGAATTATGTGAGTGTGTGATTTTTCCGCATATTTACAAGATTTTTAATTCTCAATTTTTTCCCTTTTAAAAGCCGGGCATACCGCCCATGCCGCCCATGCCAGGGGCGCCACCAGGAGCAGCAGGAGAGGCCTCGACGGGGGCGTCAACAATGGCGCACTCAGTAGTGGCCAAAAGAGACGCGACACCAGAAGCATCGACAAGACCGGTTCGGACAACCTTGAAGGGGTCAATGATACCAGCAGCAATCATGTCAGTGAACTCACCGATAGCAGCATTGTAACCCTTCTCAAAGTCCTCACCAAACTCATCAATGAGCTTGCCAGCAACAACAGAGCCCTCACCACCGGCATTCTCGACAATGGTACGGACAGGCTTGGAGCAGGCAGTCTTGATAATGTTAACACCAAGCTTCTGGTCAAAGTTCTCAGTCTTGAGGTCATCAAGGATACGAGAAGCCTTGAGGAGAGCAGTACCACCACCAGGGAGGATACCCTCCTCAACGGCAGCACGGGTAGCGTTGAGGGCATCGACAAAGCGGTCCTTCTTTTCGCCAACCTCAACCTCAGAGGAGCCACCGACACGGATGACGGCAACACCACCAGAGAGCTTAGCGAGACGTTCCTGGAGCTTCTCCTTCTCGTACTCGCTGGTGCTGGCGTCGTTAATGTAGCCGCGGATCTGTTCGCAGCGCTGGACAATGTTCTGCTTGTCACCGTCACCATTCAGGACAATGGTGTCCTCCTTGGTGATGGTGATGGCGCCAGAAGTACCGAGAAGCTCTTGGGTAGCATTCTCAGGCTTAATGTCGAGCTCCTCAGTGAAGACGGTACCACCAGTGAGGATGGCAATATCACCGAGAATGTTCTTGCGGTTGTCACCGAAACCAGGAGCCTTAACAGCAGCAACCTGGACTTGGCCACGGAGCTTGTTCAGGATGCAGGCAGCGAGGGCCTCACCGTCAATGTCCTCAGCAATGATGACAAGGGGTCTTCTAGTCTTGTTGGAAAGCTCGAGGGAGGGGAGAATATCAGCGAGAGTGGAGATCTTCTTCTCAGAAAGGAGGATGAGGGGGTTCTCAAACTCAACCTTGCCAGACTTGGCGTCAGTGACAAAGTAAGGTGAGATGTAACCGCGGTCGAAACGCATACCCTCAGTGACTTCGAGTTCGTCCTCAATGGTCTTGCCCTCCTTGACGGTAATGACACCTTCCTTGCCAACCTTTTCCATGGCAGAGGCAATGAGGCGGCCAATGTGAACATCGCCATTGGCGGAGATGGTGGCGACCTGAGCAATTTCCTCAGAAGTGGTGATTTCGCGCTTGTTCTTCTGGAGAAACTCAACGACGGCCTCGACAGCAGCCTGGGTGCCGCGTCTAAGGTCCATGGGGTTGCAGCCAGCGGCAACATTCTTGACGGACTCGGTGAAGATGGATCTACCAAGAACGGTAGCAGAGGTAGTACCATCACCAGCAGACTCGTTAGTCTTGGAGGCGACTTCCTGGAGAAGGCGGGCACCCATGTTCTCAAACTTGTCCTTGAGGGTGATAGAGCGTGCAACAGTGACACCATCCTTGGTGATCTTGGGGGCACCAAAGGATTGTTCAATGAGGACGTTGCGACCCTTGGGGCCGAGAGTGACAGAGACAGCCTTGGCCAAGGTATCGACACCCTTCAAAAGGGCAGCACGGCCCTCAACGCCGAACTTGAGCTCTTTATGGGAGCTAAGAGAGTAGTTGCGGACGGACTTTGCGGCGAGCGATCTGACGGCAGAAGGTCTAACAGCAGACTTCATGGCACTCATTTTTGATGGATGTGATTGGGGGGGGGGGTGGAGTGGTTGATTAAAAAGTGTTGAGTGAGAAAGAAAAGAAGAAAACTTTGTAGGATTGTTGAGGGTATATATAAAATTCTTTTGGTGGTAGTTCTAGAAAAAAAAAAAAAAATTTAAGTGGCCAAGCCGGGTAACCTTTAAATTTTTATTTATGTTTATGTTTGTGTGTGTGTGTGTGGAATATTCCAGAGAGTTTTTTTTTTTTTTTTCATGCGGCGGTAGCGGCAGCGGCATTGGTTGGTTTGTTTGTTTGTTTGTTTGTTAAACAGCCGTGAAGGGTTTTCTCCTCCTCCTCCTCATCAACATCATCATTTTTTTTTTTTTTTTTTTAAGCTGTGAGTTGTTTTTTGACAAAATATTTTGACATTTAATTATTAATGGTGACCGACCAGCCGATTAGACAACAGACAAACTAATAACAATAACAATATTATAACACCAACAGGTAATTCTTAAATACTTCAGTTTAATTTAATTTAATTTAATTTAATTTAATTTAATTTAATTTAATTTAATTTAATTTAATTTAATTTAATTTAATTTAATTTAATTTATATTTTATTTATATTTTATTTGTCTAAGAACCCAGGCAATTGAAAAAAAAAAAAAAAAAAAACTTTAACTGTGGGGTGTGTATGTGTATGTGTGAATAGTTAAAACCTAGTTAAAAGGCTTTTCTTCTTCCTCCCCCCACACACACACATCACACACACTAGAAACTCCACCCCTCCCTCCTCCCCCGCTGGTGCTGCCGCTAGTCGGCCGCCGAATCGGAGAGCAGTGGATTTGGCTGACAAATTTTTAATCACCCACCAAAACATATATATATATATTTTTTTTTGAGGTTAAAAACAAACAACCCCGCATTCACGTGATTTGATTTGGATTACTTCAGGGTAACTTCTTAACTCCGACGCCGCATTTCTCTAAAAAAAAAACACCCCTACCAGTACAACCACCACCACCACCACCACCACCACCACCAATCTGCTCCTCCATTCCCACAGACAAACTATCACCAACCAACCAACTAACCAACCACATCTACAAGCCATGGCCGACTTCAACGGTACGTCTATTGTTTTTTTTTTTTTTTTTTTTTTTTTTTTTCCCCTTCAAAATCGTTTACCCATTCTAACAAATTTTTTTTAGAAGGCTTCACTCCTATTTCTGCCATTTTTTACGCCGCTTTTCATCCACTCTCTGGCCCTAAGGTTTTCTCTCAAGTCCCCAGCGGTGCTATCGTTCCCTGTACTGACCCAAACGACTCTTCTGCACTACCAACCCCACTTATCAATTTTGACCTTGTCAAAAATTATATCATCCCTAAACCTCAATTATGCAACCGTATTGTAACTCTTCGCTGTGGTGATTACAGTATCGTTGGATTCCCAGTTACCATCTCAGATCGTTCTTATGAACGCAACGCTTTTGTCTTCAATTTTTGCTTCATCTTTAAGGCCCAGGGAAATACCATTGTCTATGAAACTTCTATTCGTCGTCTTGCTCGCATGTTTTCTGCTCTAGAAGAACAATCAAAATACCTCTCTCAAAGAACCTCCTTTAATACAATTGAGTCTATCCTCCAACAAATCTATCAAGATGTCAACAACTACTCAGAATGCAAAATTCCAGTTGATGATTCAACTACAATCAATATGAAACTTTTCCCCATATTCCCACCACCACCAAATATTAAGGCCTTTGATGTTCCAATTTCTACAGTCAACCTCACATCAATGGTCGACGATAACTGGGACCCCACAATGGAAAAAATCATCCCCTACATCAATGGCATTAACTCCATTCGCAAAATTGCAGAGCTAGTAGATGCAAATTACCATCTTGTTAAAAAATGTATCCAACATCTTATGCACTATGGTTGTATAATCATTATTGACATTTTTCAGTTTTCAAACATCTACGCACCAACCCCAAACCTCATCAACCTCCTCAAATCAACTGAAATGATGAAGGAATGCCAATCTTACATCTCAATTGCTGATAGCCCTCGTGCAATGTTACGCCAAATGCGCGACTCGGTTTCAGGTGTCTCAGGCGCCGTGGCTTCTTCTGCAGAAGCTTCCTCTACAATTTCTCCATCAGAAAGAACAGAAAGAACCTCAACAATTACAACAACTCATCCCATTTCTGCCTCTGTAGCAATTCCTTCTTCAGTAAAAATCCCATCCTCAATTGCTGCCTCCTCATCTGCAATTGGCTCAGAAATCAACTCAGTAGTCTCTTCAAACCTAACTACCCCATATGACAGACAATGTACAATCGCATCTCCAGCAACAATCTACACACTTTACGCAGCCCTCCACCAGGGACAAACAGTTCGTGAATGGTTTAAGGTAAACAAGGAAAAACTCAGATATATTGACGTCCGAAGATTCCTCTCCTTTGGTATCATCAAGGAACTTATCTACCGCGTCAACGAGTACCCTGTGGCTGATAGTGTCGTCCAAAAATACCACACAGCTGTTCGTCTTCCTGCCTCTGTTGCCATCGATACCTCAAAAGCCGACCCTCAATCAGCCACCGGCCCTACCTTCCCCCATCACCAACATACCCGCAGCATGCTCTCTCAACGTACCTCGGAAATTGCAGAGCAGCTTGCAGATTCTGGCCTCGGGACCCTTTCCGGGTCTGGCAACATTGGAAGAACAACCCTAAATATGCACACAGGTACCTCCTTTTACAATTCAGTCGGGACATACCCAAGCAATGCAAGCTCAAGAAACAGTGTGGGTACTCCAACAGTCCTGGGGAACCTAGCGCATGGAAGCCACGGATCTTCAACCGCCTCTGGAACAAGTGGAATTACTCCAGGCCCATCAGGTGCACCAATTGCTCCGTCTATACACTCAACCTCTGCAGCTGAAGCAGTCGCTAAAAAAGACCGCATGGCAGGCCATGGCCGCGTAGTATCTGTAGACGACATGATTGCTGGAGTGTTACAGGAGCCTCGACATTTTGATGCAATTTGTACAGACGTACGTCTGCCCAAGGCCGAGATTGAAAAGATTTTAAAGGAAACTGGTGTCTGGAACATCATAAAAGCATGATTTTGGTCAATGTGTCTGGAACACTGGCTATTTTTTTTTTTTTGAATGAGGTGGGGGAGAGAGAAATGGTGTTAAAAAAAATAAGCGGAATCAGATTTCTGACTGAAGATATATTATCAAGACCTTACACATTTCAAAAACATTAATAACATCGGGTATCAGTCTTGGATTTTTGACGCAAGTCAAGTAGTGCCTCGTTAAGCCGACCATCTATAATTTTTTTAGTTAGTTAGTTAGTTTTTTTTTTTTTTTTTTTTTTTTTTTTTTTTTTAAAACTCACCAGTATGCGCTTTCTTTAACATTTTAATCTCTTCTCGAGTCAACTCCCGACCTGCCTTTTCTCGTAAAACCTTAGATGAAATGTAGTCTTCATCCAGACTTTTTCCTGCAACTGCAGTTGTAGCCCCCCGTGCAAACTGTTGCTTGTACTCACTTTGGTACTGGGCCTGGACTCGTAACACAAATAAACTGGCCCCATCGTTATTTTCATTTTCATTTTCATTTTCATCGTCTTCTTTTTCTTCTTCTTCAGCCAACGCATCAATGCCATACCCTGGACCGTCCTTGGATTTCAAAGGAACAACCCGTATGTATTTCCCCCATGTGTTGCACAAACGCCACACAGGTGCCCCAATCAGTGTACCTGCTCGTATCACAGTAAACGTTTGTGGTGCACCAATTGCAGTGGCTTTTGCAGTTACTATACCTTGATTATCTGTAGCAAGAAATTTTCCCTGGACGGATTTAAACGCAACCTTTTTTGATGTATTATCTATTGCTGATTTTTTTGTCATTATTTCGGAATCAGCTAAACCCTTTTCTCCAAAAACAACAGGTTGGACTACAAATACCTGACGCGTAGACTCAGGCTCGATGGCTGATGGTGAGATGTTGGTCTCATCTGGATGTTCTAGTGGGTGGCTGAGCACTACACGGCCTTCTTCGGAAACTTTTAAGCATAGCGGGACGTCTTTTCTCAAAAACTTTTGAAGGGGAAAAGTAAGAAATTAGTTAGAAGTTAATTATTTGAATATATATATATATATAAAAGAAATACTTACAGATGCAAATACAATGGGCCCTGCAATGTCAGCCGGATCTCGTGCAAAAACCCACGATTTTGGGTTGACAACTGGAACCGCAGGTTTTGCCACAGATTCTTCAACAGCTTTTTTCTTTCGAGAACCATTTTCAGTTTTTGCTTTGCGTTTCGTGGGCTTTTCACCTTTAAAGGAAAGCTTGGAGATCATGATTTTATAATTAAAGAATTGGGGGTGATAATGTAAAGATGAAAAAAAAAACTCTTCATAAAGGGCTAAGAGAGGTTGCAATAAAATAAAATAAAATAAAAAAATACAATTCTCATGTTTTGGGAGTTTTCACATATCACGGGACCTGAAGGTATTTTGTGACACCATACTATTGAACCACTCATTTATTTATTGTAAATTTTCAATTTCAAAAAGATTTTAAATATCAAAAAAAAAATAATTTATCCCTCTATGAAATCCTATTAAAAAACATTCAATTAAAAGAGTTTTTGATAGGCAAATTGTACTACTCATCCTCAATGGATTTCTTAAATTTTCAGTTAGTTTTCATAATTATGTGGTTTATATACAAAATTCCTTTGTTAATCGTTCATTTTGAATACGTCAGGGCTAGGGTTAAATTAAAGATTTATTTTTGTTCCCTTTTGGGAACACCATAGTTGGGAGGTTTTTGAATTTTTGACATTTATTAATTTCAAAGTATATATTTGAAATCATCTCCCATAACAGACAATACCCTTACCCCTGTGGAATACTGGAATTGTTGGAAGGTTTTAGTTCTCATATTTCACGGGACCTGGAGGTACTCTGTGAAAAAGTTTTAAATACCAATTACCCTTACCCCGACGGAATCTTGAAACGGTCAACTTATGGCCTTTTTCATATTTTAAAACTTCATTTTAAAACCATCTTTTATAATACAAAATACCCTTACCATGCTTTGGAAATTTCCATAAAAACATCAAAACATTGAACCTCCCACTCATCTTCAAGTTTAGCTTGAAAATACATGTTTTGGGGAAGTTCCATATATAGAGGGCGGCACTCTGATACCTTAAGTTTGACCCTCTCCTAAAAATAAGCAGGGTTAGGTTTTAAACTAAAGGAATTTTTTTTTGTTCCTTTTTGGGAACACCATAGTTAGGAGGTTTTTATTTTTTGACATTTCTTTATTTCAAAATAAAAATTTGAAATCCGTAACCATAATAATAAAACCCCTTACCCCAGTGGAATATTGGAATTGTTGGAAGGTTTGAAATTTAAAATATCATGGGACCTCGAGGTACTTGATGAAAGAGTACTAATTACCAATTACCCTTACCCTGAAGGGATCTTAAAATGGTCAAATTATGGCCTTTTTTGTTATTTAAACCTTCATTTTGAAACCATCTTTCATAATAAAAAATACCCTTACTTCTGTCGAATTTTTGAACTCTCATGCAGAAGCATTTCAAATTGAAGGTTAAATACCCTTACCCCAAAGGGATCTTGAAAAGTTCAATCAATGGCCTTTTTTTTTAGTTTAAAACATAAATTTGCAACTACTTTCCATAATAAAAAATACCCTTACCCCAGTGGAATTCTAGAACTAGGCACCTAGACACCATAGTACTGAACTTTGCATTTATTCATTGTAATTCTTCTATTTCAAATTTCAGTTTTGAAAGAATTTTAAATACAAAATATCCTTACCCCAATGGGATCTTCAAGATATCAAAATTTGACTAATACAAAAAAACTTTACCCCAATGGAATATTACTGGTAACTGGATTTCTTCCTAACTTAAAACACAGCTGGGTCTGTCACCGAGTTTGACTTCACATAACCATCAAAGCGCCGAAAACTCAGTTAACATCGTAAAACTGCTGGTCGGCACCGGCCTCTTCTGCCAGGCTCAGCATCGGGACAGCCTCATTGCGCACGATGCTGGTAACAACCGGTGACAGGAATTCATCACTCTCTATTCCGGCCATTTTTCCGCCTCGCTCTTCGGCCAAAAACTCCACAAACTCCTTGTACACACGGTCATAGATTCCATTGGCCACTAGTTTGACGCTCTCAGTCTCATTTCCCTGTGGCAAAATCACATCTGCGGCGTCCTTGGTGGAGTAGATGTATCGTTCCATCTCTGGACGGCACCAGTTAATGTACTCGTTGCAGATTGCAATAAACACGCCTGTCTCGTTTGGCGCGTCTCGTAAAATCCATCGTCCTAACCGTACATCACCATCCAGATCCACAAATATCTTGACAGCCGCTTCTGCGCGTACCTCGGCGTTATACAGCGCGTACAGTCCTTCTACAATTACTACAGTCGGTGGCACAATCGTGCACCCCCTAAACTGCTTGGTCCCGCTGCTTAAACTAGCTCCACGTTTGGTTCCAGAAAAACCACCCCTTTTGTTCTTTAGATCGCGCAACAGCCGCCCAAAATCAAACCGCTTGGGTGTGTAAGGGCTCTTATTAATATCGTCTACTTGGTTTTCCCGATACTCTTGTATGTTTCGAGAATCTGGGCCTGCTTCATAGAGAGCTGCTCTGATGGAATTCAGATCAAAGGAGTGCGCGTCTGGGTCTCTTTCTCTCTCATAGTCGGCGAGCGAAACTATATGAACATCTAGTGGCAGCCGTGTTGTCGACATGTCGGTGAGTCTGCGGCGGATTTCTTTTGCGACTGAGGTCTAGATAAAACCCTCCAATTCCAAAGCTTTTGGTTAGAGAAGTACAGTTACGCTTATAAACAGACATTACTTTACCGGCACAGTGACCTCCGCCGATGAGCACGATCCAAGGCCGCTCGTGGTTGTATATAGGTGGTGTCATTGTAATTTAGGGGTTGGTGAGAAGGTTTTGTTAGGTGGTAAGATGGGGAGGGAAGGTGGTTGTGGGAGGCTTATGGGCCTTATCGGATTTTCGCCTGATTTGTGACATTACAACTCATGCGGCTCATGGAAAAGCTTGAAGACTCTGGACTCGTTCCGTACACCCGCTGAAAAACATACCCGAATGCACTTTTTAACGGGATCTCAGAGAATTAAAGGTAAGAATATTTAAAAATCATTTTAAAATCATTTTGAAAGTATGAATTTTTTTTAAAAAAATTTTCTTTTTTTTTTTTCTTCATATAATGTATTTTGACAACGTTCTCAAACATCCTATTTCATTCCATTCTTAAATGCCGGCCTAAATTTCAGATATCGTTAACATATTTTATTAATTACTATTACTTTTATAATAGTTTGTATAAATACTCTCTGGACTGCCCATTTTTTTCAATTCCAATTCCATTCCAGCTCTAGCTATTTTCACTATATATCAAACTTAGCTTTTTTCGAATCATGTTTAGTGAACTGCTAGATGTAAATTTAGACACACCATAGCGGCTGATCATTTTCATAAATAGACTCCACAATCCTCCTTAAAAACAATATCTTAAAAAAACAAAACAAAACAAAAAATAAAAAAACATCAAACAGTTCAAACCTCCTTTTCAAACCATGCTCGACAATACCAAGGCTCCACCATTATCGGCAAATGCCCAAAAAATTTACCAAACACTGCTTAGCACCAACCCATCAAACATAAAGTTTGCTCAAGCTCGTAGGAAGCATTCTAAGGAAACTACTTCTTGCATAGATTCTAACTGCAAAACTACACTGGTCTATCACTATGGAACCCGTGTTTTTGACAAGAAACGCTTTGATTCGGTTTTCAAAGCTCACTTGTGTATTGATCTTATTAGCTTATGGAATGGAATTCTTGACAAGGAAGACCTCGCGCTTTTTCATACAGTCTTAGCTACAGATACCCCGGAGCAATATGAAAATAAACTACATCCAGTAGATACTCATAAGAAGTATCATCCTGTTGAAACAAACTTTGAAGCCACAGTTAAATACCTCTCTCCAGTCTTGCCCCGTCTAAATCTTTCTCTCGCAGAATATGCTCTCCAACAACATCTATCTCTCAACCTTTCGCGTGCCGGCTACCGCCATTTATTCTCAGATCGTTATACCTTCTCACATGATCCGATCTGGGGGGATACCATCAGAGGGTTTGCAGACCCGAGTTATGTACTCTCCCGTCGTGCTAAACTTTTTTATGCTGGGACTGCCCACCACACAGACTCTTATCCAGAGGAAATGCACTTGAAATCACCACTCCACTACACGATAGCTCCACGGCCACAAAACTGTGACTTAGATGTTGCTTGTGCCCTTTGCAACATCCCGTTCTACACAAATTCTCAAGTGATTTTGCTGCCCTGCACCCATCTTTTGCACACTTCATGTGCATCAGAATGGTTTGTCAATATTGCTGATTGGTGTCCCGTGTGTGAGTACCCATATAGACATCTATGCCATACTGTTCACGCCTGCATTATAGATGATTGGAGCTGGAAGTAGTACTAAAAAGAAACAAAAAACCGTGGTGCACCTTTTTTCCCAATTTCAAAATTGCACTTCAAGGCTTGGCCTTAGTAAACTTGGTCCCCCAAAATTAGTTCCAATAAGATGGCAGAGATCACAAAAAAAAAACGTGAAAATGATGAGAGTCTGATATTAGGAAATTTTTTTATTGCTATCTACCTGTTCGTCTACAAAGTACTATTTAGCCAAATAATTGGATGGTGGGATATGGATGGGCAACTTTTACCGTCAAAGAGGTATTGAGGTACTTGTATACTTGAAAATTTAGCAGAACAAGCATCCTCGACAACATCATGGCCAGTCAAACCACACATTGCTACAAGTTATTTTTATTATCTATCAACAAGAAATCCGTTTCAACAAAAAAAAAAACGATGTCAATTCATGTCAGCTAAAATAATCTTCAATAAACTACGTGCCACTAGGGTTTAATATTACGCATTAAAAGAGTCAAACACTTTGGTTCAACTTTCAATAGATACATTATGAAGGTATCTTTAACTAAACATCATATGATGTTTGATCAATATCGTTATATGATGCTTAGTTTTATGTCGATAAATGTTTTGATAAGAATTAGCTCAAAATCACAAATATCAAGTAATTTTTTTTCTAGACTAGATAACGTATGCCAATTAAAGTCCATTTAAATACAATTTTTTCAAGTTATTTTTTTACTCACAACTCCAATTCCTATTCTTTAGACAAATTCCTTAGACAGAAAAAAAGAAATATTTTTTTTTAACTTGGTCTCTGTGTTCTCAACTTGGCTCAGAAATTATCCGAACTATTGCCGACTAGCCTCTCCGATGTGGAAAGTAAGTGTGTTAATGCAGGCATCCGATCGAGGCTGCTGCAATTGTACCAACATTTGGTGCGTACACTTACAAAATTTTAGACTGAATCTAGTAAATTTCAAAATAAACCTTAAATAAGATATTTTGGAGTACAGTATCCCTTTTCTGTTATCAGTGAGACCATGTTTATTTTTTTATATTAAACTTCATTTCTAAAAAAAAAAAAAAAATTAAATTTTTTAAGGAAATAATCATAGTCAAAAAAAAAAAAAGATTTCTAATAGCTAGTTGTTAAGCTAATTTAAATTACATTTTATGATCAACAGAGACCACAAAGATCAAGAAAGAGAATTTTTTCTAGTTTGTTTTCATTCAAGAGAGATGAATCTAATTAGATACCCCTATCTCTCTAATATTATAACATTAGCGTCGACTCTATCCTTGTAGTTGCTTAACTTTTCCGACTTGTCCTCTTACAGGAGACCTTTTCAGTATAAGGGGTTTCGATCCATGCCATGGATTACCTGAAATATAGGCACTGATTCCAGCTCACAGGGAACTAGGAGAACCAGTTTGTAGGTCTCAAATCTACCAGATCCATTTCTACTTATCTTTACGAACGACCGTATTAATCTTAATCTTCCCAGGAAGAGATATAGCTTGAAATCACATATAGACTAATTAGATTCACCTTATGAAAAGGGAAAACTTGGAGATTGAATTCAATACTTGTAGCTATCAAACAAACATACTATTTGCTATATCAAACAGCTTTTGGGATCTAAGTTTGTTTGTTTTCATTCAAGGGTTATAAAATTATATGACATCAGAATCAACGCTGTCCCTTTACTATTTAACTTTTTGTTTTCGCAATAAACTTTTAAATTTGACTTCAACAGGAACAAGGAATCAAAAACCAAATCTTCTCAACTTATCTCCACTTTTCTTGATCAACACTGTAATTGTATTTTTTAATCTCTGTAAGAAAATATAACGCTTATAATTTTAGGTATGTAAATTCAACCGTTTAAAAGAGCCAACACGTATATCTTTAGAGATATCCGTTTTGATCCTTTTCTTTCTTCAACCGGCAAAGGGCCCTTAACCAAAATATGTCTAACTGTTTACAAATTTGCTGTTGTAACAATCTTTTTTTAATTCCAAATTTAAGAAACCTGCCAATTGGTATTTAAAATTTGTATTTTTTTGTTTCTATTCAAAGGTCATCCAAAAATTGTTTGTTGTTTGTTTTTATTCAAGAGGTCATCCAAAAATTGTTTGTTTGTTTTTATTCAAGGGTTGGTCATCCAAAAATTAGTTTGTTTGTTTGTTTGTTTTTATTCAAGGGTTATAGAACTATATAACATCAGCATCTGCGCTATCCTTTTATTGTCTGACTATGTGACTTGCCGGTTTTCATTTGTACCTTTTTAGTACGGGTGGTTTCTGTTCTGTGCGTCTCCGGTAGCCCGGAAGATGGGCCCTGATGCCAGCTTACGAGGAACAGGGAGAACCAGTCTGTCGGTCCCAAAACCTTCCCAACCCATTTCCACTTATCTTCACGGACGCCCATGTATTTCTTAATCTCTTCCGTCAGAGATACGGTCCGCAATCACCTGCAGGCTATTTAGACTGTACGGAAGAGTAGGCATTCCTGTAACCAGGGTAGCCTGAGGTTTTCAGTCTAGGTGTGTACTCCCGTACACATCTTCAGGAAAAGGGGGTATTCTGGGAATCGAACCCAGTATCTTCCGCTTTCGAGCGAACGTGTTATCCTTTACACCATCCAGCCCTTTCCCCTGGTATCCAAAAATGTTTGTTTGTTTGTTTGTTTTTATTCAAGGGTTATAGAATTATATAACATCAGCATCTGCGCTATCCTTCTTGTCCATACTATATATTTTTTCATTTTGATAATAAACTTTTAATTTTGGCTTCAACATTGCATCTCCAACAGCCCGAAAATAAGTCCTGATGCCAGCTTACGAGGAACAGGGGGTTAAAAATAACCAAACCTTCCCAACCTATCTCCACTTGTCTTCATCAACGCTGTAATTGTATTTCTTAATCCCTCCAAGCAGAGATAAAGCTTACAATCTCTTGTAAGCCAGTTAAACTGTTTAAGAGAGTCGACATGTCCATCTCTGGAGATATCCGTTTCAGTCCTTTTCTTTCCTCTTCAAGCAAAGGACACTCAACTAAAATGTGATGAACTGTTTCCAGCTCTCCACATTTGCAGTTGTAACTATCCTTTTCAATTCCAAACTTTTTAAACCATGCGCCAAAGTTGCCATGGCCTGTGCGAAACTGAGTAATATTACTCAAGATCCTTCGACTATCTTTCTTCATGATCACTCCTGTAACCATTTTGGAAAGATTATCAGTACATTTCGACTCCACTGTGATATTATGATACCACAGATCCTTACTGCTGTTCCAATACATTTCTTGCCATTCTTCCATTGCTTGTTTCTTCAAAATTCCAATCGTCTGATTTTGTTGTTGTTTCAGTGTAAGAGGTTCAACCCTCTTGCATTTTCGTTTTTCATCCTTTTTAATCATATAGTCTCTATCATCTTTCGCCAACATGTAAAGCGTGGTTAGCTTTGCAATTGGAGATTTCTCAATCAATGTTAACAAATGACCATTAATAGGATTAGTTTTGCTAATATTTAGGTGTAAACGAATAGCTTTTCGTGCCACCATAAATTTTAGCCTAATACTATATGGCATAATACCAGCTTCCTTTTGTAATACCGCAATAGGAGTTGTGCGATAAGCACCAACAATTCTTCTTAAAGCCATGTTCTGCATCACTTCCAACTTGTGGATTTCTCCTTTCAAGATTTTATGATGCCAAATTTCTAAGCCATATTCAACAATTGGTCTCACGCAAGCAATATACAGTGATCTGACTGCAGACCCTCGCATACCTTTTTGCACGCCACCAAGATGCCAAATAGCACCAACAGCTTTTCTTGCTTTATTGATTTTATTCAAAATATGAGATTTAAAATCAAGCAGATTGTTCAAAGTAATTCCAAGCAATTTAACTTCCTTCTGGGGTTCACGAAGTTCTCCATTAGGTAAAGTAAGTTGCACTTTCTCATCTTTAGGTTTCACATTTTTGTAAAATGAATAAAACCCAATTTATCACCCAAATCAATTTTGGTCATTCTTGATTTAGCCCAATTACAACATTTTTCTAATATGTTGCTTAAGCTTTTGGTATTTTCTTCAATTTTACCTTCAACGGTAATAGTCACATCATCAATAAAGCCAAAAGGAGTTCCACCCCATTCTTTAATGGCATGATACATTGGTGTGGAATATATCAAAAAAGTAGTGGTGAAATAGGTGAGCCTTGCGGAATTCCAGTACTAATTTTTGCACTGATCCTTTTCTTCGGTCCATGAGCATACTAGCTTCTCTTTCACTTACAAATTGGTATGTCCAGTTTATAAGTGCTTTGGGTAGTTTCATATCCTCCATTGTGTCTGCCAATAAATTTCTGTTGACATTATCAAAAGCTCCTTGAATATCAATGAGCATAGCTGAAATTTTTTCTTTACTAGTTTCAATTCTTTGGACAAGTTCCAAAACAGCATCAGTAGCACAATAACCTTGTCTTCCCCCATATTGCTCTGGTGGAAGTAAGTGCGTTGTAAGCTTGGTCATTCTTTTTGTATAATTTTTCCAGTACTTTAGATGGAATCTTAAGTAAGGAAATTGGTCGGTATGCTCTTGGCTTTGAATAGTCAGGTTTCTTAGGTTTAGGTATAACAACAATAATGCCATGTCTCCAGACTTTTGGGTGGTATCCAAACTTCACACAAGCTTGGAGAAGCTTGAAAAACCTTTCCTTAAAGTCTTTATTCAGCCATGCCATCTTTAAAACTTTGCCAGTAATTCCATCGTCTCCTGGAGCTTTATCATTTGGGGTATCAGCCAATGCAGAGTCAACTTCATCAAACTCTAATTTTGGCCATCGAGAATCGTCGTCAATTTCAAACTCTCTATCAAGACCATGATCAATTTCAGGTAGAAGTGCCTTCCATATTTCATGTCTTTTTTCGTCAACAGTAGTAGTGAGAGTTCCATCTTCTTTTCTAATTTGTGGTATAATGGTATCATTGCTTTTTGGATTAATATACTTCAAAATCTTCCAAATGTCATTTCCTTCTAAACTAGACAAATATTTATTCCATTGCTCAGTACTTGCTTCACGCAAACTGTGGTCAAAAATTTTTCTAGCTTTTTTCGCCTCTTCAATTTTTTGTCGTTTCAAAGCCAAAGAAGGTTGTCTTTGACGGGCTTCCCTTTTAGCTTCTAGCGCTTTTTCTAACTTCTCCCTTAATTCTTGATTCCAATAGCGTTTGGACTTTTTCATCACCTTAACTTCCTTCATCGACTTTGCCATTGCTCTTTTACAACCTCCTCAAGAACTTTAGCTTGGTCATCAATTTGGTCAGTTGATTTTAGAGTTTTGTTATGCACATTAAAATCTTTAATGGCAGAAGAAAGCTCCTTGTCAAACTTTTCCCAATCTGCATTCTTAATATTCAATCTCTTCACCGAAGTAAAAACTTCATCCCCGTTTTTACTCTGAGACATATAAATGTCCCACTCCACAATTGAGTGATCACTTAGTGTATTTTCATCCACTCCACTAAATGAAATTCTATGAAGTAAGTCCACTGAGCCATAAACCAAATCAATATTGGTTCTATTGTTGTATGTTTTTTGATTTCTTGGAGTAATTAACATCATATCATTTTCATGTAGCCACTCAACAACTTCATCTGCTTCCGTATTCGGACCTGCCCTTGACTCCCATTCCTTGTGATGTAAGTTATAATCACCTGCAATGACAATCTTTGAGTATTGTTCCTTGATCTCCCGTTTGAGAAACTCAAAAACCGGTGGCTCAGGGTATTTCTTGGATGGTTTCGGTTGATTATAGACATTGACAATTGTAATGTCTTTAACCAAAATGGTAACCATATCTCGATTTGTAAACTTTTCAATTTTAGTAGTTAATGCTCGTAAGTCAGAGTTAGACCTAATGTAAGTAATTGCTCTGCATTTATTTTTTTCTTTTCCAGTTTCTGTAAAGATTGGGATCCAATCTTTATGTTTAATGGGCCCATAGTTGTTAAAGTAAGGTTCTTGTAATAACAAGATATCAGGTTCTTTTTATCTAAGATAGTTTCAGTAATAGATTTCGATTTATGACAATTGAGTTGGAATACTTTATAATTCATTGGATGTAATAGAATTGTTTTCGTTTTCTTCCTCATTGGATTCATCTAGTTCTTCAATATTTGTTTCTTTCATCGGTTCATCTTGTGAGTCGTCAGTGGAAACAGGATGGGCCTCATTATCCTTTTGTCTGATTCATTTTTCAATAATCGTATCTTATTACGCATAGCTTGGAGTTCTTCAGGAGTTTTTTTCTGCTAATAAAAGGTCTAACTTTAACTTTTGTGTACTGGATAATAAGATTATCAGCACACTTTGCATAGTCTTGGGCATTTCTGAATGAAACCAATGCTGTTTGGGTAAATTGGTTTCTGCTAATGATTTTGGGTTCGGTATTCAAAACAATATGGTAATCATTAAAATTGTAGAGAGTTTCTTTCAAGTCTTCAATCGATGCCGTATTAGGTATTTCCTGAAGTACAGCCTTGTACCAAGAATCTGTGTCAAGCACTGAATAAGTAGGGTCAACTTTGGGGATCCATTCTGCAGCTTTATCAGCAAAATCTTTGTCATTAAGTTGAACATATAAATGCCCTTTGACAGTATAGCCTATTTCCTGAGCCACCGGCTTTTGTGCAACCGCATCAATTTTCTTTCCAATCGCAGGGATATTAACTCTTTTCATGGTATCTGGAATTCTTATGCACACTCTAAAAGTGGGTTTGTCTTCATCAACTTTAGTTTCACGGTGTTGTTTTTGAGCCTTCATAATGTCTTTCAACTTTGGAGTTGCTCCATTTGGAGTTTTAGGGGTCAAAGCAAAAGGCAAAGTGTCGACTTTTCTTACCGCACTCTTGATTTCCTTTTTGCGTAGCTAAGTTCTTTGGTAGTTAAATCAGCCTTAGTTGAAATAGTTCCAACTTTGTATTCCATATTATCAACTCTTTTCTCAAGATTGTTGGTCATTTCTTTGAATTCCTTGATTTCAGTGTCGATAATTCTTTTGTTTCTTGCTTTTTCTTGAGACAAATCTTGAAGAGTCATCTTAGCTATTTCATCAGCTTTATGTTTCACTTTATCGCAATGATCCTTATTATCCTTAACTTCCTTTTTAAGTTTTTCAAACATTACATGTTTAACTTCTGTGTGAACCTGATTGTTTCTCAAAACATCAAGTTCTGAGCGAAGAGAATTCACTTGTCCTTCTGAAGCCTTAAGCTTTTCGGTCAAAGCAATGAGTTGTTTAGCTAACTCATTGTTTTTAAGTTCAAGATTTTGAAATTTTATTTCCCAATCTTCAATTGTAATACTCAAGTCTTCTTTAACAATAGACAATTCAACCAGAAATACATCCTTAAGTTTTAAGATGTATTCCCAGGCTTCAGAATTATCACCAAATGGATTTGCATCCGGCATGAGAACATCCATGTCACGTGATGGTGTTGCGTCAATTTCCACATCACCACCATCTGGTGAAGAGTCAAAGGTAGGGTTCAAGGTTGGACCAACATTCACAATAGGGGTTTCAACGGGGGTTTCGTGGTTTGAAGAAGCATTATGCTTATCATTCGATTCAAGCTTTTTGTGGATAGTTTCAATTTTTTTATGGGAGTCTGGTTTTTCATTATTTTTTTGGATTTTTGTCGAGGGTTTGATGTGATGAGCTTCATGAGAATGAGGTCCTCTGGAATGAGAACTTTCTTTCTCCTTCAGTTCAACAGCAATAATTTTTTGCATATCATTAATATTAGTCTGTTCATTATTATTGTCGGTATAATTATTGTCGGCAGGAGGGTCGCCGCCACTAAACGTGGTTTGGGTGTTGTTGGGGGGGTCTGACATGGTTTTTAAATGTATCCAAAAATGTTTGTTTGTTTTGTTTGTTTTTATTCAAGGGTTATAGAACTATATAACATCAGCATCTGCGCTATCCTTTTATTGTCTGACTTATGTGACTTGCCGGTTTTCATTTGTACCTTTTTAGTACTGGTGGTTTCTGTTCTGTGCGTCTCCGGTAGCCCGGAAGATGGGCCCTGATGCCAGCTTACGAGGAACAGGGGGAACCAGTCTGTCGGTCCCAAAACCTTCCCAACCCATTTCCACTTATCTTCACGGACGCCCATGTATTTCTTAATCTCTTCCGTCAGAGATACGGCCCGCAATCACCTGCAGGCTATTTAGACTGTACGGAAGAGTCGGCATTCCTGTAACCAGGGTAGCCTATGGTTTTCAGTCTAGGTGTATACTCCCGTACACATCCTCAGGAAAAGGGGGTATTCTGGGAATCGAACCCAGTATCTTCCGCTTTCGAGCAAACGTGTTACCCTTTACACCATCCAGCCCTTTCCCGTATCCAAAAATTAAACTCAGTATTTTTATTTAAAATTGAATAAATGTGACTAGAACTTTAAGAATTTTAATATTTTCAATAAAAGCTCTCGATAGCTCAGTTGGTAGAGCGCGGGACTGTAATGGTTCATTGTAATCCTGAGGCCGCGTGTTCGACTCACGCTCGGGAGAAATTCTTTTTGCATTTACTGGCACTATGACTGAGCGGTTAAAGTTAAGAATTAGAATTTTTTTTATTTTGATTTCTTGTGCAGGTTTAAGTCTTGTTGGTATCTTTTATAAAATGAAAGAGGTTTGATGAGGATTTAAGAAGGGAAGGGCTGGTTTTAGCCCAGACATAATTGGGGCAACCCTTAACCTTTGGTTAAACTACCAACCCCAACCCCAAACTCAATCACTATTATAATAGTGATTATCAAGTCTTTATCAACGGGCAAAACGGTTTTTATCAGAGCAAAAGATAAAAAAACAAATAAATTTTTTTGAAATTTCAATCAAATTCTATCGAGATTATAATTTTGTATTTGTATTTATATTTATATTCAAGAATGAAACAAAAAACAACGTCTGACCGGACTTCGAAAAAGTGTCACATGAATTTTCGTGTTTATTCTGTCTTAAGTGCAATACAATGAAGTAAACTTCTTCGGACTCCGTGGTATTTGAATTGAATAAAAAAAAATTGAAAGCTCCCTTACTTCACAAATGACTATAACTAGATATCAGACAAAATTACCATATGAGTTCAGTACTTTTATCCGTATATATGACTATTAATGAGTATTAATGACTCTCAATCATATCACGCAATTTATAGTCGATATTTCTCTAAACCTTCAACAGACCTGCAACTTATTTAACTAATTAGCTGAAATCTCTCTTCAAATCTGGCACTTATAAAAATCTTGGAAGGACTTTTCCAAATTATCATCGGAGTTCCTTTAAGTTAAACCGAAAACGAAAACGTATACAAGGAGAGCGATACAATGACCTGGCCCTAGCAAGTTTCCCAGTTCATCGTATTAAGATCATGTTGAAGCAATTGAAAAAAAAAAAAAACTGATGTATAAATAGGAGCAGTTTGGCTAGATATATATATATATTCTTAAATTAATTTTTATTAACTTTTATTTATCATTCTCTTTAAAACAAACATTAATCAAATACAATTCTAAAAATGGGTGCTCTCGACGAACTTAGATTTGAGGAATTCGATCCCAAATACTTCCCCAAGTTAGAACATATATCTGGCCCTTCACCATACGCTCATGATCCTACTACTGGCCCTTCATATATTGCTCCAGAAAACCGTGAAAAGCCCCTTACTTCATCTGGCATTTACAAAAAAGAATACGGCCAGTATGGCAAAGATATTTCACCTCTTCTTGGTGTCGAGTACAGCGAAGAAGTTCAAATTGCCGATTTCATTAATACACTTTTGAATGATGATTCTACCGAAGAGCAACGTGAAAAAGCTAAAAATCTGATTCGTGATATTGCAATTGAAATTTCCCGCAAAGGTGTCGTAGTATTTAGAAACCAACACAAACTGACCGTCCAGAACCAAAAAGATTTCACCAACAATCTTGGTATTCTTACAGGCAAACCCAAAACAAATGGTCTCCACATTCATCCTCGTGCCCCCGCCGGTGGACTTATTGGCGAAGATGGTCTTATTGATCCTGAAATCTTTTACGTTTCATCTACGATAGACCGTCGACCCCGTAGTCTTAAACTGGGCGCAAATTTCCCTTCAATTGGATGGCACTCCGATATTACTTTTGAACCTGTTCCTGCTGATTACTCTGCACTTAAAATTGTTCAACAGCCAGATGAGGGCTCTGGTGGTGACACTTTGTTTGCAAATGGTTATGCACTTTACGAAAGATTTTCCAAGCCCTACCAGAAATTCCTTGAAGGTCTTAAGGGCACTTATGCTCAGCCTGGATTTGAGCTTTTTGGCAAGGCTAACAACTTTTTGCTTTACAGTCAGCCTCGTGGTGCTCCCGAAAACATTGGAGATAGACTGACATCTTCTCATCCCATTGTACGTACAAACCCCGTTACTGGATGGAAAAGTTTGTATGCTGTAGGTCACCATTTTGCTCAGATCGAAGGTTTGACACCCATTGAATCTCAACGCGTCAAGGCTTTTATCAATGACACTCTTGTCAATTCTCATGATTTACAAATTAGAATTTCATGGAATGGTGCCAATGACATTGCCTTTTTTGACAACAGATCTACTTTCCACAGCGCCACTTCGGATTACTTGGGAACCAGAAGAGGTATCCGCACTATCAGTATTGGAGAACGTCCATACTTTGATGAGAGCAGTGGCATTCAAAGCGAGGCTATATACGGTGAACTTTCGGACAAAATTGGAAACCTTTCTGTCAAAAATTAAAAAAAAATATCAAGGATACTTGAAGTTAAAGATGGGGTATAACGAGTAAAAAATAGATATAAAAAGTTTATGAATATTAATCAGTAAATTGGATTTTTAAGTGTGATATACCTGATAATGTAGCCATATTTACTTTAAAAGTTGCCCCTTACCTATAGCGAAACAAATTTCTTAATTTGAAAATCCTGATATTAGGTTACTTTTTTGATTAATGGATAATAATGCTTGCGCCGTGATAAGGGTTTTTTTTTGGTTAAGGTAAAAGTAAAGGTGGTTTCAAAATAAAATTTTAAAAAGTAAAAATGGCCATAATTTGACCATTTTAAGATTCCACTGGGGTAAGGGTATTTAGTATTTAAAATTCTTTCACAGAGTACCTCCAAGTCCCGTGAAATATGAAATTTCAAACCTTCCAACAATTCCAATATTCCACTGGGGTAAGGGTATTTCTTATTATGTGAACATATTTCAAATTTTTATTTTGAAATAAAGAAATGTCAAAAAATGAAAACCTCCCAACTATGGGGATTCCTAACGAGGAATAAAAAAAAAGGCAAACTTCAATCAAACCCTAGACCTAATGGATTCCAAAAAAAGGTCAAACTTATGGTGTCAGAGTGCCGCTCTCTCTATGGAAACTCCCTCCAAAACATGGTAAGGGTATTTTGTATTATAAAAGATGGTTTTAAAATAAAGTTTTAAAATATGAAAAAGGCCATAAGTTGACCGTTTCAAGATTCCGTCGGGGTAAGGGTAATTGGTATTTAAAACTTTTTCACAGAATATCTTCCGGTCCCGTGAAATATGAAAGCTAAAACATTCCAACAATTCCAATATTCCACTGGGGTAAGGGTATTTATTATCATGTGCAAGAATTTCAAAACTTCATTTTAAAATAAAGAAATGTCAAAAAATGAAAACCTCCCAACTATGGGGATTCCCAAAAAGGAACAAAAAAAAATTAACCTTTAGTTAACCCCTAGCCCTGACGGATTCTAGAAGAACGACTAACAGAGGTACTTTGTATACCTCATAATTATGAGCATTAACTGACAATCTAAGAAATCCATTGGGATGAGCACTACAATTTGCACACCAAAAAATCCTTTGTAAATAAGCCTACAAAATTATTAAAGGTTTTTTAAAATAATAAAAAAGTTGTAATCATATTTAAACTAGTACAATATTTAATATAAGAAACAGAAACTATATAGTCACTTTACTTCCTTAATTGCACACAGGTCTAAAGCAAGCTTAGTTAGTCTTAGAGAGACGGGCCTGGAGCTGGGTGATGGCCTTGTCAAGACGAGAAGTGTTAACGTTGAATCTGACGGCCTGAGCTCTCAAGCTGGTGAGTCTGGTGGTGTAAGAGGCAGCAGCAGTTTGCATGCGGTCCTCGGCACCACCAACAAGGTTGCCGATAAGAACTTCAGCACCGTTAGTAACGGACTGAGCAAAGGGACCAAGAAGGGCATTGCCTACAGCAAGGGAAAGACCACCAGTGAAGGGAGCCAAAGCATGGGCAACAGTGGCAATGGCGTTATCAATCTGGGAATCAGCACCAGTGATGGCAGCAATGATACGGTCAGCATTGTGGGGCTGGCTGGGGTTGGACTGCATCTGGCGGTTGTAGGTCTCAACAACCTGTTGATGATTGATCATGGACTCATTAGCACCCTCGACCCAGGCATTGGCGTTTTGGTTGGGGAAGTTAGGGGTGGTACCCTGAGCAGGGGCTGCAAGAACAGCAGAAGCGGCAAGAGCAAGAGAAAGAGTCTTGATGGAAACCATTTTTAAAAGCGAGTGAAGATTAGTTGGAAAAAAATTGATAAAAAGCTAGAGAAGCTAGAGTTGATAAGATTAGAATTGAAGATTCAGTGATGATGATAAGAAAAGAAAAAAAAAGATATTTGAATGGGATATTTGACTTTCTTTTATATCCAAGTTTTCTTCAATAGATTTCCAATAGATGTTTCTTCTCTTTCAATTTTTTTTTTCGATTACAAATTCAAAGACTGTTTTAAATTCACAATATTTCTAATATTTTTTCAATTAAACATTTTAGCAATTTTGACGATGTAGAAAAACAAAGTGTATCATAATGCAACGGCTTTTCGATTAAAATTAATCGAAAAACATTTTTTTCGCAAATATCTCTAAATAACTCAAAGAGTTGACTAACAGAAAACTCATAGAATTTCCATATTTTTTTAATAATGAAGTTCAAGCTGTTTGAAAGAGTTTTATTTCATATTAACAGTTTCTAATAATTAACTAAAATAGGTATTTATTGTTGGTTTTTTTTTTTCTTTTTTTGGTTTACATTCATTCAAAGTTGTAAGAATAATTAATAAAAATCTATTGTTTTATTTCTAAAGGCGGTCAAAAATTGAAAAGTAAAATTGCAACTTCAAATGTCCCCGTTTATGGATTTTGTCACTTGCAAATTGCAAATTGCAAGTTCTAGTTTTTGTAAAACATTTTTTTAACGAATCTATTAAAGTCATGGTAGTTGCATTTTTTGGTTTAGTGTTTCGTTTAAATGAAAAATTCTTTATGACTAATAATTGAAAATAGCATAAATATTAAAGGGGGTCTTAAAATGGCGGCTCATAATGTGTCAAGTTCATTTTGCAAAGTTGATAAAATTGTATTTGATTATTTCAAAAGAATATACCGAGGTTTACAGTTTTCTTAATTTTTTTTTTTGAGCCTGTATCAGGATTTTTCAATTATAGACTATTTCAAAACATTTAGAACTAAATTAATAATATACTTAATTAAGTAGCTTATAAGCTACTCTATGGTCTATTTCATTTTGAAAGTTTCTGGATCTTTCTAAAAATGAGAAACTGAAATATCAAGGTATGTGCTCATATTTGATTGATTTAAAACTCATTGCAATTATCAAAGTAAATTACATATAATACTTTTTTCACAAATTAAATAAAAGCAAACTTTTCCTTTTTTTTGGAAAAAAATAAATAAAAGGCTCCAAAACTTGTCTTTAAAGATTGTGAAACTGTGATTTTACTCAAGCATCTGATTAATGCAATCAAATCAAAGCTGTTACACACTGACAATTAAAATCGGTTTTGCAAAAATCGTTGTTAATAATGCAGGTTAGGGTTTGACCCAAGCACTACAACATGCGGCAAAATAAGTCAAGAATTCGTTAATTTCCACTAGGGCTAGGGTCAATTACAACGTTAAGAATTTACAAAAACACCAAGCCATTTGAAAGTTAAATTATAACAACAATCATAAACATCTTGGGGATTTTTTTTCGATTAATACCATTGCTTTTTATTAATTAATTATTTAAACCATATTAGCAGTCATTCTTGATATCTATCTTTTATTAATCATAATCCTTCAAAGCCTTAAGCTACCAAATGCTCATTACTATTTGAAAACTGGGAGATCTGAAAAACTTAACCACAACATATTTTTCCAGCACTTCAAAGATTCTTTTTTTATATTTCTAGGCATAGACTTTTTGAATTTCTTTCAAGAGGCTAATTCAAGAGGTTTATAAGAGAGGGGAACCCCCATTGCTTTATTAAAATTTATTTTATTCATACAAACCAACTATCTAAACATGTCTCAAAATACCCAAACATTTCAAATTACAAGCCATGCCCAGCAACTATACCAAGTGCTGCTTGAATACAGAACCCAAAAACCTGAAGAAACCAAGGAGCAGCCATCTAGTGCTGCAAGTAAAATGCGTGAAAAAGCTTACCGATTGAAAAAGAAAATTTCTGAAAAACATAGTAAATTTCATGCTACAAAAGAAGACTCGATTGGTTGCTCGGAAGTTAAGCCAATATCCATGTACGAACGCTGGGCCACTGATGATGCTTATTATAACGGTGGAAAAAACTCCGAAAATGCCCGTTCACCGCGTAAAGAAGTCCCAGAAGGAAGTGGGATTGACCGCTGGACCACAGACCAGGAATATTACTCTTCGGTAAACCTTCGTGAACTAGACAGAATGCTTATTTCATGGGATCATCAAGGGTTTGGAAAGAATGCTTTTGACGCTGCTCGATTTTCTAGAGTATTTAAAGTTCAAGTCTACGATAATATCGTCCAATCTTGGCCTGGAATTTTGGAGCATGAAGACGCGTTACTGCTGAAATTAAAACAGCAAAAACCAAAGGAAACTCCTGAGGAGTACGAGGCCAAATTGACAAATAGACCCGACTATGATGCCCCTGCTCGAACGAACTTTCAAAATACTGTCGAGTATTTATCTCCGATTGTTCCCCGCCTTCGTCTTTCTCTTTCAGAATACGCACTTGAACAACATTTATCACTTAACCTGTCACGCGCAGGTTATAAACATTTGTCTAAAGACCGTTACGGTATTTACTGGGATCATAGTCACCACGAACCAATTCGCGGGTTTGTAGATCCCGGGTACGTAATTTCAAGTCGTGCCAAATCCGTATTTGCAGGAACTTCGTCTGTTCCTGTTCCCATTGTGCAGTCGCTGAACACTGAATCCCCACTCAACCGTACCATTGCTCCACGCCCAAAGAGTCCTTCACTAGGTGAAGATTGTCCACTTTGCAAAAAATCGTTTCATAAACATAGCCGGGTAGTCATTCTTCCATGCACGCATATACTTCACTATGAATGTGCTAAAGACTGGTTTATTATTTGCGCAGACTGGTGTCCTGTGTGCGAGTACTTTTACCGTCATCTACGTTTTCCCACACACCCGTGTGTAATAGAAAGTTGGACCCGCTAAACAAATACACACAAAAATATTTTTACTTTAAATAAAAGATTTTTAAATTTCGTTACTAAATGATTAATTTTCATTTTCATCAACTTTAAGTTCTTCAGGGAAGTTTTCACGCTTGCTTATAAAAATGGACATTGACATTTTGGCCTCCAGCCTAGCCTGTTCCAAAATCAAAAAACACTCTTCCAGTTCCAAACCTCTTTTGAGTCCGCAGTAGATGGCATCATAGACATTTCTGCGTCGCCGGAACGTGCGCTTGACGGCCATATTTCGTCGCCATCGCGTGCCATACTTGGCTTCCATATCCATTGCAGAAAGCTTGCCAGATCTTGAAGGTTTGGTGAACTCTTCCCAAATTTCCTCAAACGATCCTGGAGAATGCAAAAACGTAAACTCATTGTCGTATGGTGAATTACTGTTTGATTTTACCTCTACAGTTTCTTCAACCATAGGGACCATGGGAGCCATAGCATGAAAGACATTTGAAGCTGAAGTAATTAATTCATTATTGTCCTCTACCCCATCTTCCTCAGTGAGCACTGGCGCCTCGTCATTGTTATTGAACGAAGCACCCGAAGTTATCGAGCGGGTAACTCTAGTCAGCTCAGAGCTTGCTGGACCATTTCGGGCTCCATGAATAGATTGAGGTCGCCCTAGCAGTAAACGCACATTGTGGACTTCTTTCTTAAGGCTTGTAATATCCCGCCGTGCTTGTGCCAGCTCGGCACGTAAATTATTATTTGTTCCTGTAAACTCTGTGCGCATGTGTTGCAACTCTGCCATCAATGCCTCCATAGTGACTGGACCTGTGTCCGACTCTTCCACTATTGTTTCTCGTGCCGCTGTGCATTCCTCAGAAGTAGCATCATTTTCAGTTGTTTTAGAGGGCTTTGGAGGTTTTGGCAAAGGTTTTCGTATTGGTTTGCGCGTTGGTTTCTGTGGATGCGTTTGTGTAGGGGTTTCCACAGTAGGGGAGTCCGCCAAATTTTCTAGAGCAGAGCTTTTAGGAGTTTTTGAACCAGATGATCGAGGAGCAGAAGTTTCACTGGCTTCCTCATCAGAAATTAAATCGCTAGGAGGTTCCATATTTGACCCAGGTGAATTTTCTTCAGGACTTGATTCTGCGTTGTCCACAAGTGCTTTTGACATAAGGGGTACAACTGGAGTCCTTGGCTTTGAAGAACTTTCAGAAACAATTGCCATTGACGGGTTTTTAGAGGTATTTGTTTCAGCTGGTATTTCATGAGAAAAAGCAGTACGGTCAACTTGCTTCTTAGTTCCATATTTCTTTACTGAATGATTTTCAACAGTGGTTTTCTCAGATTTTGGAATGACGAGGGGTTTCGAATTTCTTTCGGAAGAAATGGTTTCTGCAGGATTATTAGAAACAACAGGCTCCACTGGGATTTCAGGAGCATTTTGCTCTGCCAGGTTTTCAGAAACAGAATTTTTGGGGTTCTCAAAAGAAATAGCTTTAAAAGCGAGTTTAGTAGTAGCGGTTTCTGCAGCAGTCACATTCTCAGCACTCTTCGGAACAGTTTGTTTAAAACCACTAGTATTGGCGATTGTAGTTTTCTCTAAAAGACTTTCTTCAACAGCAGTCTTTGCTTGGCTGTCTCCAGTGATTATGGGTTTTATTGTATTATCGTTAGTTTCATACTCAGGACTCTCTGGAGCTATTTGTTGTGTAGCAGCCACTTCTCCAACATTTGAATCTTCTAAAGCTCCAAGTGAGTTAATTTCTGGGTCATTTTTTTTCACTAATTTCCCACCATCAGACACTATTGAATCCTCTGGTAGTTTGAGCTCGTTCTCTTCAATTTCAAAAGCCCCTTGACTCTGTTTTTCCGGAAGTTCATTTTGAACATGTTGTTGTAGTTGTTGTTGTTGCTGCTGGTGCTGCTGTTGAGCACGCGCTCTTGTCATGCGTGGCTGAGAGATTTGTTCAGGCTGGGCTACCTTTTGTTTCCGAGGAATTTTATTGCGTAACAAAGATACTGGCGGTGGCAACGATAATTCTCTTTCAGAAGAAGAGCTAATGTCAAAGACAATTTGCTTTTGGACAGAAAGGTCAACAGAGTCTTCTTCCAAACCTTTTTCATGTGCCTGTTTCTTGGAACCACCTGTTTTCTTAATCTTTGTGCGTTTTTTTTTTCTTAAAGGTTTCTCATTCTCAGATAAGTTTTCCACATCCATGCTAAGCTCAGGAGATGGTTTTCGAGTGTTAAGAGAAAACAGATCCAGATCAGAAGAAATTTCAGGTAGATCGATTGAATTTCTTTTTCTCTCTCTTTTTTCTTCAGAACCTTTTTGAGTTGATGATTTTCGAGACTCTGAAGAGCTTGAAGTTTTTGCCCTTTTGGATTTAAGGGCTTCTCGCGAGCCATGATCTAGTCCTGAACGCTTGCCCAGTCTATTTGGCGAATCCACTAATTCGACATTTTCTTGTTCTTGGTATTCAGGTGGCATGCTTTCTGTTTTAATATTAAACACATTTTTTTGGAGAGTCAAAAACTGGCGATAGGCTTTTGTTTTAAAAATTGGAAGATTGGCAATAGGTAACTGATAAAAAATTGGACCCAGTCTGTCGGCAACAAATATAAAATCTTGCAGAAAGACTTCGCGCAAATAGTCTAAAACAACAAAAGTTACACGACGAAGATCATCAAATTCCATTTTAGACTTATCTTCGAGGGATGAACGGGGGCCTGTGCCAAAGATAAGCTCTTCATTAATAAATGGGAACAAAAGCGACTTAAGTTCAAGGGATGGATCACATCGATCTCTCACCATACGGTATTCCAAAGTGTGACCATTTGATTTAGCCCCGGCTGCACATGCAACGACAGAACTGGGGATTTCTTTGACACTTCTGCAAATATCGACACCTTCAAAGTCCTGTTCTCCCCAGGATGACAGCCGTAAAATATTTGAAGAAACAGCACCATTTTCAAGAGCGAACACAAGACCAGCAGCGCGTGGGGCATCTTTAATAGGTCTAAACCAGTTACATCCCGAACCCTCACGCATTTTGGCCATATCATTGATTTGAGACTCCCATGAAAAGGGTTCGGTAGGATTATCTTTAGAATGCGAGCCGCTATAATCATGGAATAGTTTTATAGAACTGAAAAATTCAGGGGAAGCTTCTGATAGTGCTAATTGGGGATCAGCACCATGGAGGTGAAAGCGTTCCACTAGACTTGCAGCCAGCCAAAAATGGGGGCACACGAGAGGGTCCATATGTCGAATAGAGCCTGTGTACCACGGTCCTTGTTTTGTTGGTTTAGGATAGAGTCGTGGGGATTTTTGATTTGAAACGGTAACGAGGAGACTTTTCGCAACTTGTAAGGGATTTTCTTCACCCCTGAGAACGCGTAAATCAGTAAGGTCTAGGTAGTTTGCGAGCGCGGGCTCCAGGAAAAGTGCTTGACTTAGGGTCATGACGGAAATCGAGCGTATATAGGAGGGTCCATTAAGAGACTGGGCTAAAGACCATCGTATCATAAGACTAAGGTCTTGGGGACTGTAGTTGATAAAATCGCAGTGGTCGTCATCTTCATTATTATCAGGAGAGTCTGGTCTAACGCGTTGCTGGCCGCTCACAATAGAGGAATGATCTTCGGAGCTCATTTCCAGCTCGTTTTTCTCTTTTAGCAACCGTGGTTTTTTATCGACAGGATAAGGTCCCATTGAATTTATGGGCACAAACCGCGTTGTCATTAGGTTAAGAGATGAATAGGAGGGAATTGTGCTAAAACAATAGAAAAAAAAATAAAAACAATGTTGATGCTGGTTATCTCAAAATGGAGGAAGAGAAAACTAAAAAAAAAAAAAGTTAAGGGAAACTTCGCCTTTAAAGGTGTCACGTGTAAATCATGTGACTAGCAAAATTTTATTTTTTAAATTCTCACTGAACTTTTCAATAGTATTTTGGCAAACTACAAACAACTTCAAGCAACAACCAAGTTAAGGAAACAAACATGTCTTTTGATAGAGAAGCTGATGGTATGTCTAAAACCCATAGTTCACTTTATATTCATTGCTAATTTTTTTTTAGACCAACTTGAATTCACGTCGTCTAGTGGCGTCGCGGTGTAAGTATTCCGCTGGTTAGACAGAGAGAGCCTGGACTAACCGAACAGTGTGCCATCATGTAAGTATTGATTAGATATAATTCAAACAAATCACAGAAACATTTTTCTAACTTAAACAGTCGATGCCATGAATTTAAAAGGTAAATATTTGCAATGTGCGATAACCTATGTTCATTTCTGACATGTTTTAGATTCCCTTGTACGCGGCATTTACGCGTATGGCTTTGAGGCACCCTCGGCCATCCAGTCGCGCGCTATTACCCAAATCATTTCTGGCCGTGATACTATTGCACAGGCTCAGTCAGGTACTGGTAAAACAGCTACATTCTCCATTGCAATGCTGGAGGTTATTGATACCAAAGTGCGCTCACCACAGGCTATTGTGTTGTCTCCAACACGTGAGCTTGCAATTCAAATCCAAAACGTCATTATGGCACTTGGAGACTATATGAACGTACAGTGCCATGCATGCATTGGTGGACGCAAAATTAGCGAAGACATTCGCAAGTTTGAGCACGGCCAGCACATTGTTTCTGGAACTCCGGGCCGTGTGGCTGACATGATTCGACGACAGTACTTGGACACACGCAACATCAAGATGCTGATTCTTGACGAAGCCGATACGCTTTTGGAAAAGGGGTTCCAGGAACAGATTTACGAGATTTACCGATACCTGCCGCCGGCCACCCAGGTGGTCGTTGTGTCGGCCACCTTGCCACATGACGTGCTGGCTTTGACACGCAAATTCATGACGGACCCTGTGCGGATTCTTGTGAAGCGTGATGAGCTGACCCTTGAAGGTCTTAAGCAGTACTTTATTGCTGTGGAAAAGGAGGACTGGAAGTTTGATACTTTGTGCGATTTGTATGACACGTTGACCATCACACAGGCTGTTATTTTCTGCAACACCAAAAGCAAGGTTGACTGGTTAGCGGAGAAGATGAAAGAAGCAAATTTTGCTGTAGTGTCAATGCACGGTGACATGTCTCAGGAAGAGCGTGAGAACATTATGAATGATTTCCGCCAGGGCAACTCGCGTGTGCTCATTTCCACAGATGTGTGGGCTCGTGGTATTGATGTTCAGCAGGTGTCACTTGTTATCAACTATGATATTCCTCTTAACCGTGAAAACTATATTCACCGCATTGGCCGTTCGGGTCGATTTGGCCGCAAGGGTGTCGCCATCAACTTTGTTGCTGACGATGAGGTGCGTTTGTTGCACGATATTGAGCAGTATTATTCGACCCAGATCGACGAAATGCCCGTCAATATTAGTGATATGATTTAAGCGGGAAAGAAAGGAAGAAAATAAAAAGTTTTTAATTTAAAAAGCCAATTGTTAAATTTTGTCAACATTCAACATTGAACAACCTCCAGAAAATGCATACTGGATATAGATTGCTTTTAACATGTTAAAATAATAATACAACTGATTATAATTTAAATGTAATGATTTATAAAATGTACAAAAAGTGAGCAGCATTAACCTATATAAAATACCAAGCCTTATGCTCAACAAATACATCATGTAATAAGTTGCTTTTTTATGAAATAACTTTTCACTAGCCATAGTATTATCAGCTATTGTTGCAGATTTTATTAAACCACATTTTGGGCAAATGGAGCATGGCTTTTTGGCAATGAATCAGCCGTAACTATAACCGGAACTACAACCTTAACTGCCTTCGGCGGGTCGCAATTAACAGTGATTTCAGCCTCGTACTCACGGGCAACGTATGCTGACACAAATGTCGGGACGACTTGCAACTTATGATTAGATGCACGGTACTGGGGCGATGTATGAAGCTCGCGCAGATGGGTCAATGGAATGATGGCTGTGCACCCGTACATGATTGTTTTTGGGTTAAGATGTGATGGGGGCCGAAGTTGAGACCACTTGGAGGTTCGCAGGTTTTCCAAAGTGATGACATTTTGAGAATGCTCCAAAACCCCAGGGAGTATTTGAGATGCAGTTGTTGAAGAAGTTGAGGAGGAAGATCCGTTGCTGTTGTGACGAGAGGAACCGTCGGATTTATTACTACTAGTCATGGGGGTTGGTGCAGGATACTGTGTGAATGGCCCCTTTGTTGATACTCGTAACCGAAACTTGAGAATTACCGAAATACCTGTAATCAAAGGAAGTGACACATGGTGCAGATCTGGGTTTGGAAAGAAAATAAGATAAAGGCGAATGGCACGGCCGTCATTAGTAGAGCACATCTCTATATCTCCAAGTTGAGGACAATTGACCAAACTGCTTGCGCTACTATTAGATGTAACTGAGCTTAGATTATTGTCTGAAGATGATGATCTTTGGCTATTAAGCGAGTCTATGCTAAAACGACGATTGACTTGGGCAGTTGTTGATTGCGAATTCAAAACCCCTGGTGTATTAACAATGACTGGGTTCTCGGTACGTTTAAGCGCAAACGTTTGCAATCCTAACACATGCAATTCTTGGATACCAAAAGTAATGGATGTACGCAGGAATCCACGGTTAATCACGGTTCCCGTACCTTTGCAAACGCGACGAACTTTGCCTCCAGGTGTGTCGTTTGAAGATCGGAAATCTGCAGGTGCGTATGATGGCAAAAGTGTGATTGTAAATGAATTATCAATCATTGTGTTTGATTTGTAAGTAGCAATATTAATTCCTGGTCCAAGCTCTTTTTCCTGCTCCACAATTACACGCAGTGAGTAAGCTACTTGCACAAACGGGAATGCCTGCGTTTCAGAAACAAATGTAAATGAGGGTGGTAATCGTTGTTGCAGAGGGAGCGGGTTGGGGAGTTGACTCGGGTTATGTGGGAGCAGCTCTGGAACAGTGACTTCAAATGGAAATGAAAACTCGTCGCCACGGTTGGCAAACGTGACGACAGGTGAACCAGCAGGTTGTGGGTTAATGTGGCACACAGCCAGCATGACTGTGCGCGTGCATAGTTTTTTCCCAAGTAGCAGCTCGTTGAAGACCAGTGCCACAGCAATGCTCTTGATAGGTCTATCCTCGGTCGGTGTGTAGTGTACAACCCCTGATATTTTGTCACCAAGATCATATGTTTTTTGCGGTGCTGTAATTTCAAACTTGAGGTCCTTAGGTGCTCGATTTGGACTATTGAGTGCAGAAGGAACCTCAGTCACAATTTCGCAGGTTGTGTTGGTACTTTTGGAGCTAGTTGTAGAAGTGCGGCGCGACGATCGTGATGAAATATTGCTGAGTCGTCTTAACGCTCCTGTAGAATCAGATGATGGAGTAACAAGAATTGAAACGCTGACATCGCTATTCATTGACGACATGGAATTGCGTTCACGTGGATGCGGGCTTGTAGACGAACTGGCACTAGAGCTAGCTGTGTTTGTCAAGTTCAAGTTAGGTGACAACTGAGGAGAAGGTTGTGGTGAAGGAATAATAGCCTGGGGTCCTATTTGAGGAGCAAGGGAGCCGGGCTGCTGCGCAACAGTAAGAGCCAGACAACTATCAGAGGGCTGTATAATACCCGAGTCGTGTGGAACAACTGTAAGCTCGCGCGAGTTGACGGGTGAAGGAATTGGGAATGGGGCTTGACGGAAATGTGTAGCGATGATTCGTGCAGCGTGAGACTCTGTAGTTTGCGAGGCATTTGACTCTGATGGAGAAACAGGAAATTGCACAGTAGGAGGTTCATGGTATTGAGGTTGAGGTTGAGGTTGAGGTTGAAGTTGAGGTTGGAGATGAGGTGGAATCACTTGGGCTTGTGGGCTTATTGGTGAAAAGTCAGATACCGAGATTGATGGAGCAGAAGCAGAAAATGAAGCAGATGGTTGTGTAATGGGTATCGAGACTACTGGACTTTGCGATGTTTGCCTGGGCTGCTGTAAAACTGGTTGCGAAGCCTGTTGTTGAGAAACTGGCTGCTGCAAAGGATATTGTTGCTGTGAAGCAGATTGTTGCGGTGAAGCAGATTGCTGAACTACATTAGTGGGAACAGAAGACATAGGACCGTTTCCACACTCATCATCATCGTCTTCCATACTAACTTTGGGAATTATAGGCAAATCAGTTTGACCAGCCAGAGACGAGGATGGCCAGGCTGAATACGACGAGTCAAAGGGAATAGGCAAATGAACAGATTCAAGGCAAGAGTAAGCCATGGAGTCAAAAGAAGGAGTCGACTCGCCAATTGGTCGTACCATATATTCATCATCATCATCATATCCTGAAGCAGGCTGTTGATTGGAAACATTTGGTTGAGCAGGGATTTGTTGTTGTATTGATATTGATTGTTGAATAGGGGCTTGTTGCTGCTGCACTGGTATGGGTTGTGGAATAAGAACACTTTGTGGAGCAGTATACTGTTGTTGAAACGCAGTTTGAGGAGTCACTGTTTGCTGAGCTGTTGCTGGTTCCGGAGAACTAACGATTGGCACTCTGGCCATGGGGATACCTTCCTGGTACTCTCCTGTGCCCAAAATGGCACTTGCTGGTTCCGGTGTGCTTGATCGTGATTCTATCTCAGACACTGCATCATCTTCACTGTCCGCAGCCTTATAATGAGAAACAGTAGGCGTCACACTTCCAAGATTGTCCGTGGACTCAGAGTAATACCCCATATTTGTTGGATGCTGGAGCTCATGCTCCAAAGAACCAGATGCAGATGCAAACGACACAGACGGAGTGTGAGGCGATGGCTGTGCAGCAGGGAACTGAGAATGAGCATGATATGGATGATGAAACGGAATGGAGAAAGAAGACGATGAAGTGTTGCTTTGATCTTGATCCGGAGAAGGTGTCATGTATTGGTGTTGGTACGGACTCTGCAAGTACGGCTCAGCGCTTGAATAGGAAGTTTGATAAGCCGGGTATTGCGAGTAGTCTGCAGAGCGCGTGGGGGCTTGGTTTCCACGAGTCGGAGCTACTGAAAGTGCAATTGATGAAGCGATGGATGAAGCAAAGGAATCCACGCGATGGCCCAGACGGTGTGATTGAGCTGAATTATTACCATAGATGTTATCATCATGGCTGTAATAATAATCTCTAGTTGATGAGGCTATGGATGGGGCATTAAAAGAAGATATAGAACCTGTGCGTTCGTGAACCGAGACACCGACACCTTGAGTCCCATATAATGAAGCTTGATCGGGTTGGAGTTCAACAGACATTGAAGCTGTGGAACCGTGTGGAGACCCAGAAAGTTCACGTACGGTGGAAGCTGCAATGATTCGTTGCGGGATGGGCGCATGGACGTGAGAAGTTTCTTGGGGGTCAATGTGGAGTGATGAGATTTCCGAGCGCAGATCAAGCATACTTGAAGTGGGAGAAGATGAAGGAGATGTAGATAACGAGCGTAAAGATGGTGAGGAAGACCTAGAAAAGGTCACGGTTGTGTCCTGACGCGGTTCACGGTGGCCGATGGCTTCTCCGTGGTGAGTTCCGATTCTCAGGGTCTCTGTTTGGGCAAGATAATTTGTTGAGCTTTGATGGGCAACTGTAGATTGCTGTTCTATTTGGGTATTTCCTTGTATGGTATTGCTAGCAAAAGAGTTTGTAGCGGTCACTGGCTGAGCAGCAACAACTTGGAGAACTTGTGGAGCTGATTGCGTTGGTTGTTGCACAGGTTGCGGTAGATGCGGTAGCTGCGGTAGCTGCTGTTGAAGCGGTTGCTGCCTGAGTCTTAAGGGACGTTGGGTAGGGACTTGTGGGCGTTTTCTTTGATCTGGTTGGTTTGTTGAAGGTTCAGCAAAAGGTTGGAATTCCGAGGGTTGAGGACTTGGCGCTGAGCCTTGGCTTTGTGATGAACTTGGCGGTCTTTCTTGTGGTAATGGCGGTAGTGGTGGTAGTCGTGGTGGGTGCTGGATGTTGAAAAGAGTTAAAGATTCAGTTGAAAGAGTTGTTGGAGTTGTTTGAGGGCTATCATCAGGCTCTTCAACGATAGGTTCTTGGGCTTCAGGAACTGGTTGTTGTTGTTGTTGTTGTTGTTGTTGTTGTTGCTGGTTGATGGTGAGACTGGTTTGAGGTGTTTGAGGTATAACGGGCCGAGAGTACCGGACTGTATGATTACCATCACCACACAGGTCCATAGTGGCTGTGTTTTCAAGGCCATGAATTTGAGAAGCATATTCATCCCAGGAATTATCAAATGGAGGAGGAGGAAAGTTTGGAGTTTCGATTGATCGGTAAGTCTAGATATGAGAAAAAAGAAAAAAAAAAGAGATCAGAAAGTCAGAAATATGGGATTGTAGAGTTCTTAAATTGACATACTGGAGACCGGTCAAGACGAGAAACAGGAGGCGGGTCACTTCGCATTGCTATTTCATAAGGAGGCGGGATATCCGTTTCCGTATCTGTGATGAGTGATCTGACCATGTTGGATATGGTGATTTGAATATCAATAAAAAAATATTGGAGAATTATTTGAAAAGATGGTTTTATTTTAAAAAAAAAAAAAAAAAAAAAAAAAATTAAAATGAGAAATTAAGAGGAATTATTTGTGGTGAGTATTATATTTATTTATATAAAAAGCCACCAAATCATCCTTATATGCACTTGTTTTTTTTTTTTTTTTTCCAGCCCTTTTCTACACACGCGACCAGAATGACGTTTATTTAATTTTATTTGTTCAAGCTTTACTTCTTTTTATCGAAGTCAAAAAAAAAAAAAAAAAAAGACGTTTACTTTTTCTCAGACAGTTTATTTTTTCAATTTCTTCGAATAAGAATTGCTTATCGCCCCCACGTGCATCACCTTCTTCATACCGCGGGGTTCCTGTTTGGGGTCTGAGTGGTGGTGAACATCACCCCCTAAGATTTTTTTTCTCCTGTAAGCTAGTCTAGTTGCATGCGATAAATCAAATAGTACTATTAGTGTATAATAAATCAATGTATAAAATTCCAAAATCATTTTTTACAAATTAGTACAATTATTAGAATCAAAAAAAAAAAAAAGATGTTGTTTTTTTCCACCAAAATATATATTTATTAAATATCTTTTAAATGACTTTCTAGGCTGCTTTATCGTCTAAACATTTTCCTTCATATTGTTACAGGGAATGCTCAATGATAAGGAAAAAAACCTTAATTTAAGCTTAAATATTGGCAACTCGCGTCACGTACACGTCGCGTAAAGTTAAAAAAAACCTTTTAGTTACCAAAAATAAGTAAGAAAGTAAGTAAGTAAGTATAAGTTATTTCACAGTAAGTTACATGTACAAATACAAAATCAAAATCTCGCCAGTCTTCACTACTCAACGTCATCCTCTTCAGGTTCAACCTGCTCCAAATACAAGGCCTCTCGACTCCCACGTTCAACGTCCACAAATGCAAGTACACCAATAGGCAAAATTATCAGCAATAACAAAAAGTAAAACGTATATCTGATATTGTGAGTTTTGTCAGTAATAAGACCAGTCACAAACGGTCCAAATACAGAAGAACCCTTGTCAGTAACGCTAAAGAGCGAAAAAAAGGTCGTTTCTTTGCCTTTGGGAATCAACAATGAAAAAACAGACCGACATAACGTATTAATACTACCCAATGCAAACCCATACCAGGCTGCCAACAGATACATTTCCCAAGGCGACCGCAGACCAAGATGCTTGGTGAAAAACCCAGCAATGCCATAGACAGGAATCATGGCTGCCAGGAAAACCACAAACATAATACTTCGCACAGGATTGGCCCCCAAACGTGGGGCAAGGTAGCGTGGTGTAAGAGTAGCACCCAAGATGCCGAAAAACACTACCATGACACCAATGACAGCCAGCGACGGGGCACTCATCTGGAGCTCTGTTTTGGCGAAAAGAACAGCTGCAGAGTTAATTGTTGTAGCAGCGTCTGAAATCATAAACCATGCCAGCAGAAATGTAGCCACGTCGCGCATTTGGCGCGCCTCGCGGAACGTCACATAAAGTGTACGCCAACCATAAGCAATGTATGTGTCTGCACCGCGCGTGACCCGTGACAAAGCACGGTGGATTTTGTGTCGAAGAGTCGTGTGCGCACGCACGTGTTTAGGACGTGGCAGGGGCGGTCCTGGTCGAGAACGCAACAGAGTTGCAACGGGGATTTGGAAAATAAGCCACCATAACCCGACCACAAATACAGCAACCTGGAGAGACCACGTGCTGGATCCAAGGGCTTTAATCAGAAGAATGGTAACAAGTTGAACAATTAATGCGGAAATGTATCCGAGAGCTATGCCCTTTCCACTGATGGCACCTGAAAGTTTAGAAACAGTTGTGATGAGCAGTGGATGGTCAAAAACATGTTTTGGTGGATCTGCTTCCAGAAGCAAATTGTCTTCTGAAGTTAGTTGATCATCATAACTGTTATTATTGTGATCTTGAGATTTAATATCCTCGGCGGTGGCCAGCACCTCCGGATGGTTGCGCACAAGCACAGGTAAGAAAGAGTTGCCGCAAACAGAAACTGCGCCAAAACAAGAGTTTGATATTATTGCAAGAATAGATGCTAGAAGGTAATGCGATTGAGTAACAGCAAGAAACCCACAGGTAGAAATTCCTCCTACAATTGCAAACCAGACTAAAAGTTTCTTACGGAACTTTCCACGATCTGCGGCACCGCTCATTGAAATTACAACAAGCGTTTGGATTAGCACACTGAACGAAAACGTATAGAGTGCAAATGATGCAGTGTCGATGTAATAACTGTGTCCAAAGATAGGGACTACACATTGTTGTGCTCGCGAAGGATCACCAATGTTTCCTGGAGGTGGCAGTCCTCCATGGCCTGGAGTAGGTGGTGGTGGAGAGTTTGGGTCTCCGTTTGGTAGCGGCATGCCACAGGGGACATTATGGTCATCCGCACGCACTGCATTGTCACGCGCAAATTGTTCGAGCAAAATAGGGACATAAGTGCCGACGGCAGAGACTATGAACGGTTCAGAAGCCCAGGCATAAGCAAACCACCCCCAAAGTTCACGGCGGGTCGTAGGGCCCTGGTCCTCAACCACGTATCTAGAGGAGGATTCTGATCCTGTTTGCAAAGAATTGGTGTCTGTGTCTGCAGAAAGAGGTTGTGGAGAATCATTTGTTACTGGGCCATCAAGGGTAGTCGCATCTGATAGTGGAGATGTTGAGTGAGGTGGGTCTGTCATTGTTTTTTTGGTAGTTGATTTTATTTGATTAATTAATGAGGTTGGAGTGGGGAAGTTGTGTAATGGAGAATGCTTGAAAAAAAGGGTGGTAGCTTTTGTTTTGGGGTGGTGAGAAAATTGGAGGCAGGCAGTATAGAGGAGTGGCGGTGCATCCGGGTGGTCCGACGCCGCACTTTGTTACAATTATTTCTTAAAAAAATTTATTGTGACAGATATAAGTATTAAGTATTAAGTATTAAGTATTAAATTTTACTACTATTTAATAAATCCAAAATTTGGGGTACCCCCCATACCGGTATGCAGCTAAAAAAAAAAAACGAAACCTTCTTTAAAAAGGGCTTTCTTTATTTTTTTTTTTGGTTTCTTCCGACAAACAAACAAACAAACAAATAACGCCGACCCGAGACATTTTCTTGAAAAAAGCCTTTTATTAAAAGAAAAAAAATTAAGTAAATTCTAATACAGATCTGTTAAGAATTTTTAAAGTTTTTTTTTTTTTTTTTTCTAAATATATAAAGGTATATATTTATTTAAAGATACACCTACTCACATAATTAGGTCTAGACCTAATCAAGATTTTGACTAAAATATCAATACTAACACTGCTGCTTCAATAACAATAGTTTTAGAAGAAGAAGAAGACGATTCATTTGTAAATTTTTCCATGAGGCATTCTCTCAGATCTCCAGGTAAGCCCCCTTTTACCCCCTTAAATTTTCCAATGTTCAATATTTATAAATCTAATAATTTAATTCGACGCGTCATTTAGTTTACTACGTTGACCGAGACGAAAATGCCGTCCAGTCATCAAATCAAGCCAATGCAGCTGGTGACTCCTCATCTATGAGAAATGTAGGAAATTCCAGTTCTGGGACTCCTTTGAAACCCCGAATGTCGCCTGTTAAAGGTCCACGCCCAATTAACGCAGCAACAGCAGCGGCAGCAGCAGCAGCAGCTTCTGGAACCCAGACTTTCAAACAACAGCAGCAGCAGCAAAACCCCATTTCGTCAGTTGTTTCTTTAGGTTCTTCAACTTCAGTTCCAACTTCAGCTTCTAAACGTTCTATGCAAAGCTCAGCCATGGTAAGCGCAGGTGTGGCACCATCATCAACACCACAAATACAACAAACTCAGCCAACTACAGCTGCTAGTGTGCCTCCGTCTTCATCTTCAAGACAACAGAAACCGCCTTTTCTCACGCCTCAATCACTTCTACCACCTCCTATTTCTTCTAACACGCAAACAACAACTGATTCTTCTTCTTCTTTTTCTTCTCCTTCTCCTTCTCCTTCCAATCCAAACTATTTGCCTGTGAATATGTCGATTTCCAGCAACTTGGGCTCAAATAATGTCTCCAGTGCTTCGCTCGCTACAAGCACCGTAGGCTCTTTAAACACCGCACGCTCACACGATTCTTCCTCGGCTCAACAGTCACCAATGGTACAAACGCCTGAACTGAATCCTCCGGCTCAACAGCAGTCACCGGCACCCCAATCGCCGGTACACCAATATCCGGTACACCAATCGCCAGTACACCAGTCGCCAGTGTTGCAGCCAACAACTCAACCATCATCAATACAGCAGTTCCCACCGACTCTACAACCACCACAACAACAACCATTTCAGCAACGCTCACCGACCCTTCAATCCCCGGCTCAATTTTCACCAAGCTTACAATCGCCTACACAGTTGTCGCCTGTTCAGCTGTCATCAACAGGACCTGGCTCACCTGTTCATCCTGGCTCCCCACTTCTTTCACAAGGCTCTACTGTTGGAGCTGATGGTCCGGATACTCTACATCAGACTCAGCCACAACAGCAGACCCCGCATCAGAATCATATCAAACGGAAACAAGTCAAGCGGAAGCCTATTAGTAACACTGTATTGCCACCACCCACTCTATCACCTGTTGATAATAATAATAATCTAACTGTTAATACCAGTACTAACCATGATGCTAATGAAAGTGGAGGTAGTATTCATAGTAATAGCAGTGGAGGTGGATTGCAGTTGCCCTCGGATAGATCTCGTTCTCGTACACCGTCACCTTCTAGGGACTCACAGACCTCATCTGGACGTCAGTGGGAACCATTTAAGATGGGAAGTTATGATGAGCCTCAGAAAGAGGCTATGCATGAAACTCAACAGCAGTCAACTCGCCAGAATTTGGAGCCCATGCAAACAAGTCTTCCGCAAGATATTGGTGGCGACCCGTATGCTTCACAGGGCGGTTATGGTGCCGAACCTAATCATGGTTTACATGTGACACCTCCACAGACATTTTCTTCGTCATCAGTGGAATCGTCACAACAGCAACAGCAACAGCAGCAGCAGCAGCAGAAGGCTTCTAAAAGAGCTTCTGTTCTTTACTTGGATACTAAAAGCTCGATCCCAAACTTTTCAACGCCACGAGCATACCGACATTCTATTCAGATACCTGCACAAGGAGGAGGAAATGGGGGGTTTTACGATTCGTTGAATGCAAAGTATTCAGAACAACCTCAGCAGCAAAATCATCAGAATCCGCAGCAATTCAACCAACAACAACAGCAACAACCACATCAACCACATCAACCACATCAATCACATCAATCACATCAACAGCAGCAGCAGCCTAACCAGCACTTTAATCAACAAAATCAGCAGAATAAGTACAATCAACAACAGCAGTTTAACCAGCAGAATCAGAAGAATCAGAAGAATCAGCAATTTAATCAGCAGTTCAATCAACAACAGTTTAATCGATCTCCTAACCAACAGTTCAATCAACAACAGCAGCAGCAGCCCCAACAATACAACCAACCGCAATCTCCTACATCGTTCATACAGAACTCGTATGGACAAGTAACTTCGCCTCAGCTCAGCTATGGCAGCGAGCATACGCACCGTAACTCAGTTGCTACAGGAATGCCAGATTCACAGGAAGCTGGATTTGGTCCGAGTTCTTCGCGCAAGTGGAAGTACCACATTCAAAAGAATTTCAAGGACCTGTACCTGACTACAAATCCAGACACCAAGTACTACTTGGCTCCACGCGCGCCCAGTTACTATGTGGAAATCACAGAAGACGTGACATTCAACAATGCAACTGGCCAGTTTGCGTTTACTCTGATGCTGGTCAACGCGGTCAAAGGTATGTGCGAAGTGATGGTGACTCGTCGGTTTCGAGAAAACACGGACGACGATTTTTTCGAGATTGTGGTGTACCGAGACGCAAACGAGCCAAGTGACCGGCACGACGAGTTTGATTTTTCAGGAATGCCTCAAGCGCACCATGAAATTTCGGGAGGAAGCAGCGGCGACGGCGAAACTAATTTGCAAAACCTCAAGTCAGTGGACCTCGGGAATAACAACGGTGGTGGGCCCGTGTGCGTGGAGTCGTGGCGTTGTAATGCCATGCCAGTTGTTGGGGCTGACGCAGGATCTCTACTGGAAAGCCGTAGTAGGAGCAATAGTGTGGTGATGGGCGAAAACGGCGGCGGGTTTGGCGGTAGTCGCACGGCTATTCGACAATATACGCTTTTGGATCAACGAGGGCGGCGGTGGGTTGTGGGGAACCGAGCAGATCATATGGACATTAATTCATTGGGTGTTGAAGAAGAAGCTGAAGAACAAGAAGCCGAGCTGATTCCTATTGACGGAAGTGGTAGTGGTAGCAATGGAGGGTTTTCAGGGTTTGGTAGCGGAGGTGGTCAAACAATGGCATTTTTTAGAAGATCTACAAGAGTTTACTTTTTCGCACCTGGATCTGGAGGTCCAGAGACAGATAAGATTATGGCAGTATTGCAACGACGCAAGCAAGTCCATAAGCAATTGGCTAAGGATTTGGGCAAACTTGCAATTAAAACTGGGCATACGATTTCGGAGAAGATTGAGGGTGTTCTTGATGGTGCTAATAATAATAATAATAATAATGGAGGGACTGGTGGTGGTGGTGAGTCTACTTCGCATAAGGCCTTTCTCAGAAACAAGTTGAGTGGATTGTCGAGTAGATTAAGTGGCCATGGTCAAAGCAATAGTGTGAGTACAACCGGCAATTATTCCAATCAAACTTATGCTGGTTCACAGAATGTTGTTTCTTCTTCGTCACAGCCACGACCCACACCTGGTATTATGTTTAATGATGCTGCACCCAATCCTTTAAATGTTGCCGATGACGAGTCTCAAGACAAGTTTGGTTGGTTGACTGTGTTTGAAAGTGCTAAACACCGGGCTGGGATGTGGTCGGTAGTTGTTGCCTCGACGCTGGCTGTAGCTTATGCTCAACGGACAGATCGCAAGGAGCGGTCATTGCAGCAGAGAATGCGCAACATTGGGCGCAAGTATCGAGATGCGCGGTTGCAGGTTCACTATGGCCAAGGGCACCGGTACACCCGATCTTCTGTATGAATTGAGTCAAAGTATATATATATTAGTCAGACCGAAAGTAAAAATTTTACTCTTTATAAAAAGATTAAGACTTTTTTTTAATTTCAAAATTCAAACTTTGATAATGAAAATCACCAGCGGTTTCGCTGAGAAAGAAAAAAAGCGGCTTTAAAAGAGTCACGCAGATCACTTGAAGGTTTTCTTTGTTTTTTTTTTTTTGTTTAGAGAAACTTTTTAGTATCGGACCGTCACAATTACAATTTAATCACAAAGTTCCGGATCTTCAACTTCAACAATCGTCGTCATCAATCAACAAAAAAAAAAAAATGGCTCCTCGAGTATCGCGATATCGCTGTGAATAAACCTATATTTATTCATCTATTAATTTATTAATTTATTAATTTATTTATCTCCCCACTTAGTTTACGTCTTACCCAACCAAAATCCCCCGTAAGCGGTCCTAAATCTGTAATTGCTTCTCTCTTATTGGCTGTTTAACTATGCCACTATCGGCCCGTTATTTTTATGCGATATCGCACTTCCTGATTCAGCAAGTGGACCGTGTGTATGTGTGCCAGTGACTAAAAAAAAAAAATTTTTTTTTTATTTCTCTCTTACCTCCTCAACAAGCGCTTATACCAAAAGAGCAAGACATATATAAAGGCGCTCATTTCCCACTTTGCCTATTTTTTTTCCAATTTCCTTCTTCTTTTCCTTAAATTCCCATCCATCTTAAATAAACCCCCAACCATCACAATGCCTGCTCCTAGCACTAGCAATTCCCCAAAAACCCTTTACGACAAGGTCTTTGAAGACCACATTGTCCACAGCGATGGCAACAACACCTTCCTCATCTACATTGACCGCCACCTGGTCCACGAGGTTACCTCGCCTCAAGCCTTTGAAGGCCTGAAAAACGCCGGCCGAAAGGTTAGAAGAACCGACTGCACTCTCGCCACTGTCGATCACAATATTCCCACCACCTCCAGAAAGAACTTTAAGAGTACGGCCACTTTCATTGAGGAAGACGACTCGCGCCTTCAGGTCGTCACCCTCGAGCAAAACGTCAAGGACTTTGATGTCAGATACTTTGGCATGATGGACAACAGACAAGGTATTGTCCACGTTGTCGGCCCTGAGCAAGGTTTCACTCTCCCAGGTACTACCGTAGTCTGCGGTGACTCCCACACTTCCACCCACGGTGCCTTTGGCGCCCTCGCCTTTGGTATCGGCACCTCCGAGGTTGAGCACGTCCTTGCTACACAGACCCTTATCCAAACAAAGTCCAAGAATATGCTCATCAATGTCTCCGGCAAGCTGAAACCTGGCATCACTTCCAAGGATCTTGTCCTTCACATTATCGGCCACATTGGTACCGCCGGTGGTACTGGTATGGTTATCGAGTTTGCTGGTGAAGCCATTCGTGCCCTTTCCATGGAAGCCCGTATGTCCATGTGTAACATGGCCATTGAGGGTGGTGCCCGTGCCGGTATGGTTGCTCCTGATGAGACCACTTTCAAGTACATCAAGGGTAGACCCTTGGCCCCCTCTGACGACGAGTGGGAAAAGGCAGTTTCCTATTGGAAGACCCTCCACACTGACGAAGGTGCCCATTTCGATGCTGTTGTCGAGATTGATGCCGAAAACATTATCCCCACCGTTACTTGGGGTACCTCTCCTCAGGATGCCCTCCCTATCTCTGGCAAGGTTCCTGACCCTGCTGACTACTCCGATCCCATCCGCAAGGCTGGCGTTCAACGTGCTCTCGAATACATGGGCCTTACCGCCAACACTCCTCTGAATGAGATTAAGATTGACAAGGTCTTTATCGGATCCTGCACCAACTCCCGTATCGAGGATCTTAGACTGGCTGCCAGCATTGTTAAGGGCAAGAAGAAGGCTGATTCTGTCTCTCGTGCTCTTGTCGTTCCTGGCTCTGGTCTTGTAAAGACCCAGGCTGAGGCTGAAGGTCTCGACAAGATTTTCCTCGACGCTGGTTTTGAGTGGAGAGAGGCTGGTTGCTCCATGTGCTTGGGTATGAACCCTGATATCCTTTCCCCCCATGAGAGATGTGCTTCTACCTCCAACAGAAACTTTGAGGGTCGCCAGGGTGCCTTGAGTAGAACCCACTTGGTTTCTCCTGCCATGGCTGCCATTGCTGGTATCACTGGCCACCTCACTGACGTTCGCGAGTACCTTCCCCAGGCCGATGCCACTATCACCATTGAAGTTGATAATGACACTGACTACAATGCCCAGGAGAAGGAGCCCCTGCGTCCCGATGAGATTGAAATCACTGAGGATGCTCCTGCCCAGTCTGCTGGTGCCGCTGAGGAGACTGATGTCCAGACTCCTGCCAAGCCTGCCTCTTCCACTGGTATCCCCATCTTCAATGTCGAGACTGGTATTGCTTGCCCTCTGGCCAAGGCCAATGTCGACACTGACGCCATTATCCCTAAGCAGTTCCTCAAGACCATTAAGCGTACTGGTCTTTCCAAGGGTCTGTTTTACGAGCTGAGATTTGCCAAGAACCCCACCACTGGCGAGATGGAAAAGACTCAATTTTCTCTCAACGTTGCTCCTTGGGATAAGACCAAGATCCTCGTTGTTTCCGGTGATAACTTTGGCTGTGGTTCTTCTAGAGAACACGCTCCATGGGCTCTTGCTGACTTTGGCATCCGCTGCATCATTGCTCCCTCGTTTGGTGACATTTTCTACAACAACTCTTTCAAGAATGGTCTTCTGCTGATTAGACTGCCTGCTGAGGTTATCAAGGAGAAGCTTCTCCCCATTGCCGAGAAGGGTGGTCAGCTCAGCGTCGATCTGCCCAACACCAAGGTTCTTTCTGCTGACGGTGAGGTTTTGGTTGACCACTTTGATGTTGATGACTTCCGCAAGAACTGCTTGGTTAACGGTCTTGACGACATTGGTATTACTCTCCAGAAGGAGTCTTTCATCCAGGCTTACGAGAACATCCGCAAGGATAAGTTCAGTTTCCTTGAGAGCGGTAACAATGCTGTTGTCAATCCTGTCAAGGGTGTTAAGAAGAGCCCCTTTGGTGTTACTGCCCAGGAGTGGTAAAAAGAAGAAAATAAAATAATGGATTTTCGTGTATTTTTATAATAATCTTTGTTAAAAAAAATTGTTTGCTATTCTAATAACAAAATTTACAAGATGAGGTTTTTCACAATATGAGTTTTGCAACATGATGAGGTTTTTCACAAGATGAATTTTCAAACAAAATATCTTTTGACACGCCAAAAAAAAAATTCCCAAATTTTCTAGTGCAGCCGGGGATTATGTAAGTACGTAGTCATTCAATAAAAAAAAACCTCCTTTGACTTTTTGATTTGTTGGCACCCAGAAAAAATCCTTTTTATTTTTTTTCCCCTTAAACACCATCATCATCATCATCATCACCATAACCATCTCCATTCATCCTTCATCACTAAACCAAAAACATCAACAACCATGAGTACCACCTCCCAGACCCCCAAGGAAAAGTTCGAGGCCGTTTTCCCCTCGATTGTCGATGAGCTCGAGGCCACCCTTAAGAAAACAAATATTTCTCCTGAAGCCATTGAATGGTACAAAAAGAGCTTGGTCTACAACTCTGTTGGCGGCAAAGCCAACCGCGGTCTCTCGGTTGTCGACACTTACCGTCTGCTTAAGGGTAAGACTCTTGAGGAATTGTCTGATGATGAGTATAAGCGTGCTGCCATTCTTGGCTGGTGCGTTGAATTGGTAAGTTAATTCGTTATGTTTAAATGAAACATATATTAATCAACATGTTAAAAAAAAAATAAAAGCTCCAAGCTTATTTCTTGGTCGCAGACGACATGATGGACCAGTCCATCACCCGCCGTGGCCAGCCCTGCTGGTACCGCGTGCCCAAGGTTGGCAACATTGCCATCAATGATGCGTTTATGCTTGAGGCTGCAATTTACATTCTTCTCAAGAACCACTTCAAGAAGGAAGCCTACTACGTCGACCTCATTGAACTTTTCCATGAAGTCACTTTCCAAACTGAACTTGGCCAGCTCCTCGATCTTCTCACCGCCCCTGAAGATGAAGTCGACTTGTCCAAGTTCTCACTTCAAAAGCACTCCTACATTGTCACCTACAAGACTGCCTTCTACTCCTTCTATCTCCCTGTCGCTCTTGCTATGTACATGGCTGGCATCTCTTCTGAACAAGACCTCAAGCAGGCTAACGACATCCTGATCCCTCTTGGCGAGTACTTCCAGATCCAGGACGATTACCTTGATGTTTACGGTGACCCTGCCGTCATTGGCAAGATTGGTACCGATATCCAGGACAATAAGTGCAGTTGGGTCGTCAACACCGCACTCAAGATTGTCACCCCGGAGCAACGCCAAATCTTGGACGAAAACTACGGCAGAAAGGATGCTGAAAAGGAAAAGGTTGTCAAGAAACTTTTCGAAGAACTCAACATCCAGCAACTTTACCTCGATTACGAGGACAAGATTGTTAAGGAGCTCCGTGAAAAGATTGCAAAAGTCGACGAGTCTAGAGGCTTTAAGGGCTCTGTTCTCGAGGCTTTCTTGAACAAGATTTACAAGAGACAAAAGTAAATCTTTTAAAAAAAAAGTTATTTCTTTTATTCTTTCTAATAATTAATCGTAATATATATATTTTCTTTTGTATAATAGAATTTTTCTAAAAAAAAAATGATCATCATCATCAGTTTTAAGACAACTCTGCAACCTCTGAAAAGAACTGGCGCAATACAAGCGATAAAACATTGGGAAGTTCACGAATCTCCTTCACAATTATATAGTACTCAAACGGGAAATGGTCCAAGTACCGCTCAATCTTCATCTCACCAGTTTCTCCATCATATTGCACATCCTTCATCTCCAAAATCGATCCTTGGTTGTTAAGACCATCAACAACAACAAAAACAACCATGATCCGCTCCTCCCTTGCTTTGCGTACCAATCTCCTCAAGGCCTCGTGGCTCTCGCACATACCGTCAGAAATAATAATCTCCAGTCGCCATTGCTCGCCGCCACCAGATTGGAACCCTCGAGCCTCGGCCTCCTCAAATAGCCCAATAGATTTCTGCACAAGTTGTTTCACATCTGTCTTGGTCTGTTCAAACCCAAACCATTGCAGCACGTGAGCACCAGAATCAGAAGAAAATGGTCGCTCAAATGGGTGCACAACCTGCGTCGACTCGCCAAACCGTGCAATCGCAAGCTGCCCAGCCTCCAACTGTGTCAGAGCTTTTGAAATGAGCGCAATTGATTGGAACGCTAGTCTGGCAGCTTGAGATTCGGCCATCGACTTGGAGTCGTCAACAGCAATCATAATCTGGTACTGGCGTTTCGACGGCTTAGTACGGCGCATCCAAATCTTGTCCTTCTTAAACTGACTGGCAATGTACGGAATAATCCGCTTCATGTTGAGTCGCTTACCAGTCTTGAAGTCGCCCCGCAGTTTGGTCGCCTGAGTGGGCTCCAAAATTAATCGCAGCTGCTCTGTCAATGCAAGTGCAGATTCTTGAACAACTGTCTCATTCGTCTGCCAAAGCTCCCGAGCTTCCTCAATAGTTCGCGCAGGTTCAAACCCAGGCTCAGCCCCATCGTACAAAGGATCGTCTGGATCTCGCATCTCCACATCTTCATCATCTTGAACCTCGTGCAGGGCTTCTGCACCACCTTCTTCGTCGTCATCCTGGCGCATCCGCTCTCCAACCATTGACTGTGCGTGCGAAGACATGTCTGTGTTTTGCTCACCTGTAGGTGCTTCTTCATCATGCGTATCAGGCATCTCTTCATCCTGTACTTCACGGTTTTCCTCGGCAGCAACATCCTCCTGCTCCTCCTCCTCAATTGCCTTAGTTTCGTCAATGCGTTGGCGATGATCATGCGAAGCAGATCCAAGAGCTTGTGTTTCATGCGCAGAGCTCTCGCCATCAACGTGCTCAAACTCATCGGGGTTCTGGTTGGCTCCCGAAGTGTCCTCGCTCTCTTGCTGTTGGTCATCAGAGGCTTCCTTGATATCTTTCTTGCGGTCATAGTACTCCTTAAGCGCGTCACCAAGCTGCTTCATTGACTCTTCCACGTTCTTACGAGCCTCATCATTTACAGTCTCCTCTTCCTTGTCCTCGCTATTGTTTTCCTCGGGCTTGGAAGACGAGGCTCCGCCATTGTTCTCGAGGTTATCTTGCTCTTCTTCAGTCTGATAATTGCTACCTTCGCCCTTGTTGGCTGATGCATCTTGAGAAACAGCATTCTCCTCGTTGGCAGTTTGGTCATCCACAGATTGATCAGGACCATCAAGACCCTCCATGTTGTTTTCCATCTCATTTTGCTGGGGCTTGCCGGATTCATTGTCCTCATTCTCTTCATTTTCCTCCATAATATCCTTCTCGGTAGTTCCATCTTCATCCTTCTCACCCTCCTCTTCTCTTTCCTCATCACCTTCATCACCATCAACCTCCATCTCATTGTTTTCCTTATCTGCTTCAGGGTGGTCCTTATCTTCCTCCCCTTCAACTTCGCTCATGGCACCTTCTTCTTCATCATTCTTTTCATCCTCCTTCTTCTTGTCCTCAGTGTCAACATCCATAGCATCATCCATATTCACATCTTCCATCTCGTCGTCTTGGTCATTCTCCTCCTCCTTGCCGTCATCGCCGTCAAGGTTGATTTCCTCAGGAAGATCCAAAACTTCAGACTCAGGAATATTGTCCTCAAGCTGCTCGCCTTCATCATGCTTAACAGCATCATCTTGCTCAGCCGCATCGTCCTCTTCTTCTTCTTCTTCATTTTCTTCATCTCCTTCCTTAGACTCTTCTCCATCTTTACCATCCTGGTTTTCGTTGTCTTCGTTGGCTTCGCCATCATCTTCATTGGCTTGGAGATTGTCTTGATTATTATTTTCAGGAACCTTGTCGGACTCCTTCTCCTTATTATTGTCGTCGCCCTCTTCATCCCACATCTTTTCGTCAATAGCATTAGGATCCAAGTCATCAACATCACCAACTTCCTCGTCCATCTCCTCATCTTCCTTGTCGTCTTCTTCGTCATCAGACTTTTCTTGGTCGGAAGCATCTTCAAGTTCGCCAGCCATGTCACCTTCCATTTCAACAGCATTATCTTCCTCATTTTCATCTCTGGCATCATCCTTCTCCTGTTCCTTGTTCTCAGTTTGAGCATCCTCAGTAAGACCCTCATCTTGATCAATGTCCTCCTTGGAGTTGGCGTCACCAGCACCATCGCCCAAACCGGTACCATTAGATGTGGTTTCAGTGTTGTCGTCCTTGGATTCTTCTTGAGGAGTACAGAAACCATTAGTTGAAATGCTGTTCAAAGCGCCCATCAAGATGTAAAACGTTTTGTTGTTGCGGTTCATTGCGTGAAGAAGCTTGTTTTGAATCAAATCACAAAGGACCTTGTACTCTTTGAAAAATGGAACAAGAGTACCAATCAAAGCAATGGCCTTAGACGAATTCTCAGGTGACTTGAAAGAAATGTTGGCAACAATGTGAATGACCTCACGAATAAGGTCAATCATCTTTTGCTGGTGAAGCTGGCGGGGATAATTGCCAAGACGAGTTTGAGATTTAACAAACCAATTATCAGCCTCAGTGGTAATTTCCTCGGAAGTTGTTCCAACAATGTTTTGAATAACAACCATGGAAGATTTACTGATTGTCTTAACCTTCTCTTCTAAAAGCTCGAGGGTGGGGACATTTTCAGAATCAGTGGACTCAATATGAGAGCCCAAATAAGTAAGCTGCTCCTGCATCCATTGAATGACAACTTGGCCAACAAATGCAAGTGAAACATGGGCACTCTGCCACTTATTGAGTTCACTAATTGCAGAAATAAGTTCAAATTTGAGCTGCGAAATAAGTTCTTCAGTTGATTGAGTAACCAATTTATTGGAAAGCAATGGCTGGTAGCGCTTGAATCTAACAGCTAAGTCGACAAATGTCTCAGAAATGTTTTGGAAAACCTTGGTATCAACTGAAGAAATCTTTCCAATAAACGAAGCGCTCTTGCAAGAATCAACAGCAAACGACATAAGCTTAGGAACCCAAGCAACTACCAGACTAGAAGATTGAACAATAGGCAGTAAATGACTACTTTGAATCTTGTCTTCTCCATTCAAAAGAGCAGCCACAGAATTGAGAGCAGCCAAAAGTGTTTCCAGAGATTCATTTCCTTCCAATAATGTAGCGACAGTGCTACGTTGCTGCAAAATCAATGATAAAATATTTTCCGAAATAGCCAAACCTCGCTGAATATCGGCTTGAGGGGCGTCACTCTCAGAAGAAATAGCAGCGACACGCAACCGTGGCACCAAATCGATAATTTTGTAAAAGTAAGTGTTGCTCTTTCCAATTTGAGCACCAGTAAGAGAAGGAACTGAAGACATAATACTGGTCATCAAGGCCTGACGTTCCTTAATGTCAGCACGAACAGTAGTCTTGAGACCACTACGTCTAAGTTCCTTGATCGCGGTCGTCAAAAGATTGCTCTTTTGCATCTTCAAAGTAGAAACTTCCTTCTTGGTTTCTTCATTAAGAACCTTAGGAGTAGCGTCTCTGAGGCGATTCATATCAGAAATAATCTCAGTAGCAAAGTCCTCCAGATCAGGAAGCTCCTCAGCTTGAACCTTCAAAATAAACCGGTGCATATTATTGGCGGTTTGTTCAACATCAGAAAGATGAGTAGACCGAGACTTCCACTGAGGAATCATCCTGGCAAGCTCCAGATGCTTAGTGATACTGTTATATGCAGCAGTAGGAGTAAGCTCTAAAGTGATAAGGGCAGTTGCATCAGCTTCAGGAAGCTGGTCTAGACCAGCGGAAGCAATTGGCTCAATGGAAGCCGAAAGAACATCTCTGTATTTTCTAACAACCTTGTGAACCTTATAATGTGACTTTTTAATAGACTGTTTCAAAGCAAGAACTGTAGTGTCCTTCCATCTGACCAAATCTACAATATCCTTAACCTCCTTCATAAGAGCCTTTCTCGAATCTATAATGTGAGCAGAAACCTTTTTAGATAGAGGTTCGTAAAAATTGATGACGTTCTTGATACTTTCAGAAACTTGTGCTAAGACTGAGTATTGCTCACTAAGCTGGTTAGTGTGCTCAGAAAAGGCAGCCAAAAGCTTCAATCGAGAGTCAAACTGGCCGTAGTTGGAGCGACTAACAAAAGTGGTAAGGTTTTGAACAATGCTGGCGGCCAACTTGGTAGATTCTTCATTATCCTCATCAAGTTGAGAGGTGTTACCAAGCAAAAGCTCAAAGAGAGTAAACCACTGCATGCTCATTTCCTTGATGGCGTTAACTTCTTCAAGATCCAAAAGTCTGGGAAGAGAAGAAAGTTCAAGCTTGCGAACGCTGACAATAGCATTGGCAACTTCTTGAGAAATGGCCATGACAGAGTAGTCCTTGCTGGCAGATTTCTCCCATCCATCAAGCAGCTCGTAAATTTGTTCAACCATAACCAAATAACGAGCAATAGGAGACATAAGAGGAAGTGCAAGAATTTCCTCACAGTTTGCTGCAATGTGCTGCAGAGTTGCATGCTCGGGCCAAATCTCAAGGAACTTGTCAATCTGGGCCTTAACCTTAAGAGCCAAAGTAGTGAATTTGACAGTCTCTTCGGGACGAGGCGAGTGGTAGAAGTCATAGGGGCTTTCCAGAGATTCAGAAGAATCTTGGCCTTTAATGGAGTTTGAGAGAAGCGTAGTAATGACCGGTAGAACGTTGGTGAGATTGTCAGAAACAAATTGATGAGCATGGGTCTTGCAATACTCCTGCAAAAACTTGACATTGCGCAAGGTAACTTCAGAAATGGAAATAGAACCTTCACCAAAAGTTTGTAGATAGATTTGAACCAAGTCAGAGTAAATATCCTCACTTGTATGCTTAGAGGAATCTTCCAAAGAAAGAACGTCTTCATAGTCAGGGAACATGCGCTTGAAATCGTCCTCAACCTCTTGTTCGCTATTGTCCTGGAAAACAGATTGCTTAGCAGCTTCTGCAGTCTCATCGCGCATCTTGGTCAAAGACCATTTGTAATAGAATGAGCGGAAAACAAAAACAATAATCTCATCTAAATCTGATTGAGTCTTAATTGACTTGTCGCTTTCAATTCTAGTCTTGTGCATCAAGTTGGTAGTTTCAAGAAGGCAAAGCAACAGAGGATTGCTAATGTCATCAGGAAGTTTAGTGACATCGTTCTTAATAAGAGAGAAAATCTCCAAAAGCTTGCTAGAATCAAGGATCTGAGTGGGATCAATAAGACTATAAGGCTTGAAAGAAGTGGATCGATCGATGCTGGCAAAAATGTCAAGACCAAGCTTCATGGCATAAACGAAAGAATTAAGAAGAGAAGTAATATCAGAATACTGTTTAAAATTGGAGTTCATTCTCAATATGAATTGAGTAGTATTTCTCTGAAGATTCTTAATTTGATCCAAATGCAAAGAAACATCATTATTTTCATCGATAAGAGACAAGACAAGAGACTCAGGAAGAATCGCAAGCAATGAATTCCACTCATCATAGATGGCACCAATCTGCGAGGCTGTTGGTCTGTAAATTGTAGGTGCATCTTCTGAGAAAGGTTGTGGAATGCGATTCTCCCAGCATTTCTCAAGCTCAGAGTTTTCAGGGCTCACAAAAATGGACTTCAAGTAGCTCCAGCAAGAAGTAACTTCCTCAGAAAGAGACTTTTGGGCAACAGAGCGATCAAAAGCCACATGCTGGTGAATGGCAGGATCAAATGGAATGTTTGGAACGTAAAGAACCAACATGCCCAAAGCAAAGTAAATCCAAGCACGAGCAGCAGCAACCTTTGATGAGTCGGTCAAGTTCTTCAAGGCTTTCAAAATGTACTTTTCAAAAGCCAAAACAAAATTTGTGTTTTCTGATTGAGAAATGTTATTGAACAGCTGAGAAATCACATCTGAAGAGAGAGCAGAAACGTCGGTAGGCAATCCGGTAATGGAAATTGAATGAACTTCAACAAATTGCAAAATAGTCAGGTAAAGAAGCTGAGAAAACTGATTCAAATGATCCTTAACAAGATACTGAGATTGAGAAACAACAGTTTCAGTAAGGGTCTGGAAATCCAAAATTGCTTGGTTACGATCCTGAGATGCAACATTATCAATCTTGTTGGTGTAAGACAAGAGAAGTTGACCAATTCCATTATTGACAAAATCAACGGCTGATGCGGTAAGCTCACCGTCTTCATACTTCCAAAGAGTGTCAAACAAAGGAGCATAAGGAAACTGAATATTTTGTCTTTCATATTTGGAAAGATGGTAAGTAGAATACTTGGAATTATAAGAAATATTTCCAAGAATACGATAAGCCTCCTAAAATTTGAGTTAGTAAGAAAGAAAAAAAAAAGATAAATAAAATAAACACACCTTTCTAATTGAAGGATCAAGAAGTGAAGAAAGTTCAATGATTTGGGAAATGTGAACAAATCCACTGTCAAAGTAATGCTTTCTTTGAACCTCAAAATTTGCAGCTTGTTGTTGAAGAGTATCAATACCAGATTCTAATTTCTGAATCAAATCATCCAGTTCAATATTCTCACTGTCAGACTTCAAAGCTGCATTGATTGTTTGAATGACTGCTGACTGAAGAGATCGAATAGTGTCAATAGAATTGGAGAATAAAGACGCTGAAACGGAATCAAACTTTTGAGCCACCGAAATCACACGCTCATATCTGGTCCATGAATTAAGAGATGACGGAACTTCCTCATGACACTGCGACCAAATAAGCTTCATTGAAGTGCCAGAAGTAAGGTCCAACTGGCAACCAAACTCAGAAATGGCGCTCTTTAGTTTGCTGTCTTCCGTTGCGAAAATCTCAGCAGAACCTCTCTTATTGTACCAGTCATCTAAAATGTCACGGTAAACGGGAAGTTGACTTTCATCAGTGGTCTTGGAAGAAGATAGTGCAGTCAAATCAACACCAATTTGCAGGAGTAAAACCAAAGAAAACAAAGGTTCAGTAAGATCAGAAACAGGAGATGTCATGCACTGGTAAACAACACTAGAGATGAACTGATAAATGACGTTAATCATAGAATAAACGTCAACTTTGGCAGGGTTTTTCAGTGGCTTTTCAAAATGCTTGGCAGCAGCACGCTCCAAATAAGTAAATGAAGAAGGCTTTAAAGTATGAACATTAGACTCGCACTTTTCCAAGGCAAGCTTGATCTGATTCAACAAAGGAATGCAGTACAAAATAACAGCAACATCGGAAGGAGTAAGGCCATTCTTGTTTGCCTTAGCCTTGCTGGAGACATATGAGTTAATAACAGGATTAAAAAACTGAGACTTAGAAATAGGCTCAGGAAGCTCATTGTCGCCAAAAATGGTATCCAAAGTAGACTGTAGGGGCGTTTTGAGAGCCAAAGAAACGTAAGAGGAAAAAGAAGAAATACGTTCACGCTCAGTAGCGGTGTAGTAATCAAGACTCAAAATATTAGAGACCCACGATTTCAGGAAAATAGCATAGTTTCTTGGCAACAAGCTCAATTCCAAAGAAGTCAAGAAAGAATTCATTGTTTCAGAAAACAAATTAGAGTCCTCAAGTAAAGAAAACGCTCTAGAAAAAGAATCACTGGCTTTGATAAAAGAAGAACTGGGAAGAGCCGATGACTTCAATGAGAGAGATGAAAGTTGTGAATCCAAGGGTTCAGTTGTTTGAGGCTGTTCAATCTGAAGAAGCTGGCGATCAAAAGGGGTGGCTCTAGTGGAAATAGAATCCAAATACAATTCAGCGCCACGGTTTCTCATAGCACGAGACAACTCTCCATACTTAGAATCCATTGTCAAGAAAAGTCTAAAGTTCTTATGAGGCGTGACAACCCTGGGCTCACCACTTGGAAGAGAGCACTCGTTTACAATCAAAGAACCATTGGGCTCTAAAAGTGAGTTCAAACGATCAAGGACAGAAGGATTGCACAAATTTGCATTATCCAAAACAAGCCACTTGCCATTCTCAACAGCCTGCAAAAGGGTACCGTCAAACCATTCAAATCTAGCTTGGTTAACGATATGAAGCTTCTCTTTGACATCATTGATTTTTTCCAAAAGAGGAGCAATTTGAGAGGCATAATCAGGGCAAAGCTCAATAACCTTAGGCAAAGTACTGGAAATTTTATCAATAGTTTCAGGAGAAATCTTGACAACCTTCAAATAAGTTAAGAGCTCGAACATAGGGTCAACTTCGGTGGCAGCAAACTCCCCAAAAAATTTACAGGTGGCATTAAGACAAATCTCAATAAGCTCCTGAATTAGCTTGGAGCATTTTTGGTTCATATCGACTTGGTCAAAGCCACCAAGAAGATCCATGCTGTCAATATCGCCATTCATAGCAAACTCTTCTAGTTCATGACCAGTAACTTGAGCAAGATAACGAATAAGATTTGTCTTACCGGATTTGGTAGGACCAACAATAATCAAGGGCCAAGAGTTGTTAACGCAAGTGATGGCTGTTTCCAAAGCCTGAATATTGCACTGGAGTGGCAAAACATGGGGGTAAGTAGGCTCACGCAAAGAGTCACGAACAATGCAACTATGACCAGCTTGGACATACTCCTCGCTAATTTGGAAAAAGTCAGAGCGCTTAGTAAAAGGTCCAAAGTGCTTGGTATAAATCTTTTCTACAAACTCCCTGTCGGATTGAGTACGGAAACGATCCTTCGCAATAATGTCAATGAACTCTTCAGGACCATAATTAGAAGAAAGAGGATCTTGGGTTGTAAGAAGTTTGAGCCATCTCATGGTATCACGAAGGTTAAATTCATATGGAGAGCCAATATGACCAAAGCTGCGCTTAACAGAAACTTCAGTATCCAGTTCAAGGATAAAGTTAATCATCTTGTTAATAACATCTGTAGGAATATTAGGGTAAAGATACTGAGAAATCATTTTCAAGTCATCAGTGGAAAGAACGTCAATGTAGACAACAGTAAATCTATTGACAAATGACTTGGGAAGACCCTTTCTACCACCACCTTGATACTGGGGGTTTTGAGCAGCAAAAACAGTAAACTCTGGGTGACATTTAAATGTGCGATCAAGCTCAGGAATATAAGTTTCACCACGATGATCAAGACAAGCATTTAAACCTTCCAAAACAGACTGACTGGCAAGATTCATTTCATCCAACAAAACCCAACCACCCTCTTGCATAGCATGTAAAAATGGGGCGTCTCTCCAAACAAACTGGTTGCTACCCTCTCCCTCAGCAGGTGAATCGGAACCGAAAAGGTCAATCAAATCAGTTTGCTCAGAAAGATTGATACGGGTAAGTTTATGACCAGTGACTTCGGCAATAGCAGTAATCAAACTAGTTTTACCAACACCAGGGCTACCTTCCAGAAGCATGGGTTTCTTGACTTGCATACCACGCAAAACTCTCATGGCGTTATTTGCAGTAGTAGGGGCCTGAAGATTGAAAGAGACCTTGGAGGCAGCAGCAGTACGTTCAAGAGAAAAGGGGCCAACTGAAACCTTATCATCAGTGACACTGACAAGGAACTTCTCCAAATAAGAAGAAGTAAGATCAGTCTTCAAAAGTTCTGAAAGTTTCTTGACACATTCAAGCTTTTTGGCCTTTAACAGCTCAGGGGTCTCAGCCAGAGCAGCAGTTGAGTTGGTACCAATGGAATCAATAAATACCATTGATGCGCCATGAAGAATACTTAGCTCGTTACCAATGGAGTCACAAAGCTTGTTGGCAAAGCCAACCCAAGCAAGCATGTCACGCAGAGAAATAACACCGGAAGAAGCATCACCGGCACCATAAGTCTGACCAAACCATTCGGAAAATTGGACAAGAACATTACCGAGAGGCTTGAGAGCAGGTTCCAACTTGGAAGTAATAATTTGAAGAACATCATCCATGTTTTCCATTGAAGGAACCCAAATCTCGGTGAAACGGTTTCTCAAAGCAGGAGAAAGTTCTTTCTTGCCATAGTCACCACCTGGATTCATGGTAGCGAAAAACTGGAAACCATCAACAGCAGTGATAGAGCTGTCTTTAGAGCCTTTTTCAGCAAGAAGAATGGTTCTTTCAGGTTCCAAAACACTATTAAGTCTTTCAAGAACAGAGTCATCAGCAAGGGAAATCTCATCAAGAAGGAAGAAATCGCCAAACTTCAAGGCTTGGATAAGACTACCATCAGACCACTCAAAAAGAATCTTCAAGTGGTTTTCCAAATCGGTGATATGTTGGATAGACTCTTCATCAAAAGAAGACTTGTCAGCAGTCTCATATTGCTCACGCAACTCATCAAGAGTACCAGTGGTATTGAGAAGCTTCTGAAGCTCTTGCTGCAGATTCTCAAGCATCTCAGATCGGTTTCTGACAGGTCGCTGAGAACCAATAATATCACCAGTTTCTGTGTTTTGGTGAGCATTGACAATGTGAAGAGATTTTCCAGCAGCGTCAGCCAAAACTTGGCAGATTGTTGTTTTACCACAACCAGTTTCACCAACAAGCAGAATAGGTTCATTGTATCTCAATGCCTGACTTACCAAAACAGCAAGCTTTTTCATACCTTGAGTCCAAACAACACTTGAGGCAGCATTGATAATTTCAGTGGGTTCAAAAGACTGGTAAATTGCATCAATATCGAGTTTGACGCGCATAACTTTTTCAATAACTTCCTTTACAATGACACGTTCTTCTTTCTTGCGAACACGCTCACCAAGAAGCATATAGCCATTGGCGGCAAGCTGATCGTAGCCAATAGCCTCTCTACCAGCCCATCTGAACAAGTCACGAAGAGTGGCAAATGAATTCTTTTGCTCAAACACACGAGTCGATTGACGATTAACTGAAAGTTGTTTGTAGACCTCAACGATCTTTTTACTGTAACTGGGAGCAATACGGCAGCGGCGAGTCAAAATATCTTCTAACTCAGTAACAGGAATATCATCGAAATGTAGCTCCAAAAATCTGTTTCGGAAAGCGCGAGACAAGACCTTTCTGCCACCATAAAGACCAGGAGGATTTTGAGTAGCAAAAAGCATAAAGTCAGGGTGAGGTCGGACAATTTCTTGAGTTTCTGGAATAAACAGCTCTCTGTTATCGTCAAGAAGACGATTTAGTGCCTCCAAAACATCAGTAGGAGCCAAGTTCAGTTCGTCAAGAACAATCCAATAACCATTTCGGACAGCTTGGACCAAAACACCTTCTTGGAAAGCAAGTTTACCTTCGGCATTGGAAACATAGGAACCGAGATACTCTTGTAAGTCAGTATGTTCGTGATTGTTAATACGAACAAACTTGTGGCCAGTTTTCTTGGCAAGATAGTTGATCATACTAGTCTTACCACTGGATGTAGGACCTTGAATGAGAACAGGGAATTTGCCGCCAGCAGTGGCTCTTGTCAAGTTCATAAGATTCTTCTCAACATATGGAGTGATGATATAATCAGGCTGCTCTTCAGGCTCAAATGCACCCTTTTTAAGCCAATAATGGCGGAATTGAATGTACTCGTGGTCGTCCTTGGGGTGGGGAGGAATTTGAGACATGACAGATTTGGCATTTTTCAGTTTTTGAATAGTGTACTTTTCAATTATGGGCAAAAGAATTTCAGTAGACTTTTTGTCTAAAAGTGTGGAAAAACTCATGCAGAAACCTTCATACAAAGAGCGACGAAGTTGGTAAATTGGCGCAATCTTGGCTGAGTATGTAAGTGTACGGGACAGCGTTCTGATACTGAAATGCGGTCGTTGGTTGGCACCATCAACAATACTGTTAGATTCTGACAGCTGTTTAGCAGTAAGGTAAAGATCAGCGACATCGTTGACAACCATTGCATCGGTGATTGAAATGTGACCAATGTACTTGTCAATAATGGAAAGTAAATCATTACGGTTAGTGTCAGGAGAGTGGACGTAAAGTTCAGTAAACCGAGACCGTAATCCAGTAGGAAGATCACGCTTGCCAATATCAGTTGCAGGATTCATACAAGCAAAAAGGCGGAAGTCTGGATGAGCTTTGATAGATTCAGCGTCACCCTTTTCAGAAAGAGTGATAGAAGGTGATTCAGCAAGCAAGTCAGCAATGCTTTCAAGGGTTTCAGGAGAAGCAAGGTTGACTTCATCAAGCAAGACCCAGTCACCACGTCTGACAGCTTGAACCAGAGAACCTTCCACGAATGAAAATAAGAAAGACTTGTCGCTTTGTTTAATTTGAACTTCGAATTTGTCAATCTTCTCAGAAAAGTTGTTCCATTTTTGCTGCAGATCAGCGACGTCAGACTCAGAAAGTTTACGACGCTTCTTGGGAGCGTTTTCTTCGGGTTCAGGAGGGTTTAGAAGAGTACGGGCAAGTTTGATTGCTTCTCTCCAAAGTTTAACACAGTTACTCCATTGAGACTTTGAAAAACACTTTGTAAGCAATGCAGAAAACTTTTCATTCTTTTTGGAAGAAAATGTTGATTCAAAAATCGAGTCAAACAATTCCTTGAGAGGCATGGCAATAGTTTTTGAGTCGATAGGTTTGTAACCACCTAAAAGATCACTAGATTCTGTTTGCTGAGAAACATTAATGACAGTAATGTCTCGATTGAGAAGTGCAGACAAGTGCTGGACAACAGTGGTTTTACCAGTACCAGTTTCACCAACAAGAAGAGTTGGCTCTTTCATAGCGACCGCAACGCCAATCTTTTCCAGTAATCTTAGAGCATGGTTTGTGTCGGCAAAGTTTGCAATTTGCTGTGCCTTTTGTTTTTGTTTTGCCTTGGACAAAAGTCGCTTTCTTTCAAGTGATGCTCGACCGATTGTGACATTTGTATTTGAATTTGTAAAGACAGGGATATGGTTCTGAACAAAAAGGTCAACGCGGTGAGATGGAACTTCAAGGCATTCACCAATTATAGAAATAAGGTACTTGGATGCATCAAAATTGGGGATGAAACCAGTGAAGCAGTCAACTGCTTCAGCAAAGATGTGGTCGTAAAGAGCAGAATTTATAGGTTGGTTGGGATCTGTGACACCATTTTCACGTAGAAGAAGATCAACTCTATGGGCCCATTTTATAAGATCTCTAGAAGTGATTGGTCTATTCTGTGTTGATTTATTAAGCGCAATGAATTTGGCCTGTGCAAAAGTCTGGATGATTGTGTGGTAAGCGTCAACAAACTTTTCTGAAAAGTTTGCAAGAATGGGAAATCTGTTTCTGATGATTAGCTTGAGTTCGTCCAAAGTAGGAGGTGTGACATCCACCTGTTCCCAAAGACGTTTTCCAATGATTTCAGGGATTATTGGCGCACCATTAGTTTTGTTGACTGTTCTGACTGTTCCAAAGATTTGAAACTGACTAGCAGCCTTTACAGTTTCGCCACGTGAAGGTATTAGCAGCTCTCTTTTCTCTAAAAGTGGTAATAAAACAGATAAAACATCAGTAGGAGCCTTATCAATATCTTCAATAAGAACCCATCTTCCCTCCATAACGGCAACAGTAAGAATACCAGGACGCCATTCAAAAGAGCCGGGCTTGTCACCAATGGAGTAAGTACCGACAAGAATCTTGACATCAGACTGGTCGCCAAGATGGATACGAACAATGCTGTCGTCTTTTGAAAAGTACTTTGCTGCTTCCTCTAAGTAAAATGTCTTTCCAGAACCGCCCTCGCCTGTTAATAAAACGGGTTTGGATGTATGAAGAGCGGTGGCAATTTTCCGGATACTGGATACAGCACCTGTAGTTGGAACAAATTTTGAATCATCGTAAGATTGAGAAGATGATTGGGCAATAAGAATGCCGGCGAGGTTGGAAACGAGGGGAGAAAGATTCTTTTTGGGAATTTCAAAAGTATTTGTGGTTTCGGCTGAAATTTCAGAAATAAGGTTACGCTCGAGTGAGATGCGTTTGGCTTCGATGGTGTTTAAAAATAAATAATCAATCTCGTTGGAATTTTCATATGGACCAATAACAGGAACATCTTGTCCAATATTTTTGTTGACCATTTGCTTTCTAATTTTGTCTGAAGATGTGAGGTATGCAGCGAGCAGCTGGATAGAAAGGTATTTAATAGAATTCCATGGGTGGCTAATGAGCTTTTCACAAATTTCGGCAGAGATAAATGAAGAAAACGCGTCATAATCAAAAGAAACTAATCTGTGTAAGGCAAGTAAAAATTCCAGAATGTTGCGGTCTCCAAACTGTTCGTAACGAGTGTTAAAATTTTGGAAAATTAATGTTGATTTAATAATCTCGTGTGTGAGTGGGAGAACCTCAGGGGTGATAGAAATGGCTCTAGCAATAGAGATAAATGTGTAAAAACCATCAATAGGAGGATCAGTAGGATTAGTTGACTGGATGAAGTTCTTCTCGACAGACGGACTGCTGACCCATCGAGCTGCTATGTCTATGAAAATTGGTCTATGAGTAGCTTGTATTAAGGATGCGAATCTAGAGTCGAGAGCGAGTGAGCTGAGGTATAAGATTTGAGTCTCGTAATTAGAAAGAGTCAAAGGCTGAACAGCTGTTGGCAGAACCAGACCTTTGGATTGGCACAACTTTTCAAAAGATGAAAAGGCCAAGTGCGGATCAAAGCAAAGAGGTGCTTCCATCTAAATTTAAGTGTTAACACAGGTAGATGTAAAAGATGGGTTAACTTACTGTAAATATATTAAAAAAAATTATACTTGGATCATGCGGTGTATATTACAACCAAATTTTGGTAAATAACTATGAGATGTTAGAAAATTTTGGTTATAGATCTGGAAAATGTTTACTTACATTTAAATGCAATTATCTATAAGGTCTTGGTCTATGATGGCCCTATTTGGGTATATATTTGAAAGGTTAAAAAATGCTCGCAAAATCCATAAAGAATTAGAGCAAGCTTTTTAAAAAAAAAATGCCTTTAATTTTTTATGATTTTTATTAAAAAAAAAAAAATAAAGGGTTTGAAAGGCGTGAAAAAAGATTTCGTTAAATACAAAAAAAATTTTGACGTGAAGAGAAAAAAAGATTTTTAAAAAAAAAATTTTTTTTTTTTGACTGTTGAAATGAGATTATGTAATCCATGGTTTATCAGGATTGTGCGGCTCGCTAGTGAATTTCTTTTCTTTCTACACACCTTTGACTCCAAAATGCATTGGTTTTTCATAATTTCCATTTCTTCCTTGCTTATAATAATAATAGTATTGCTAATATCTGGTCTTTTTTTATTTGATGTATTTGAAAGCAAAACCTATTTTGGCTCTCAGGAGCTGATGGAGTTGGGCACAAATTCCTTAGTTTCTGCCGGAACATCCATATTGTCGGGTGGTCCTAAGTGTATGCTATGTTTAAAATAATAACATACTAACAGTTAATAGAATTGAAAAATAATTTTAAAAATCAGAAGAAGTCTTCAAAAAAATCTACGCGAGTGTTTCATCGAAATAGAAGTGTGGTAAGAGCAAAGTATTGCAAAAGGTTGCCGGCTGTTTTACACAGAACAAACTCCTACAGTCAAAAGGCCAACCATACAAAAGTGGTGAAGGATGACGGCACAGTGATTACTGAAAAAGAAATTTCACTTCCATTAATAAGGCGCAAAAGTTCGCCTATATTAAATGGATTGTTGTATACACCATTGCCTTTCCATCCTAAGAATAAGTTATACGGGCTATCGTTAAATGCAAACTCTCGTTTGCTTGGGAAATTCAATAATCCGCTTAAATCAATGATATCCACAACGGTATTCGATCCCAGTAAAAAACTAGTAGATTTGGCAAAACGACCAGTGAAAAAGTACTACTACCTTCCATCTCCGGTTTGGACCGTAAATAGACAAAACGCAACTGCGGTTCGAAGACTGGCTTCGCCTATATCTATAATCGAATCATCAACTGAAAGTAAGGGGTCGATTGTAGTATATACAGATGGTGAAACGTGTTGCATTGGGTTTAAAAGAAGCAAAGTATATCACAAGTTGCATGGTGCAGCCTTATATTGGAAGAGTAACGCAAAAACAAAATCCCGGTGGTGGAGAAGTTGCTGGACATTGGAAGACTAAAGACATTTGGAATTAAAATAAAAAGGGGAAATAAATCTAGTAGTTGAATTCTTATATAGCTATAATCACATGAACCCGGCTGCTGCAGAGTTCCATGCATTTACTATGTTTCGCACTTGGTTGTTGAATGCTTTACTCGTTATCTGTTGTTGGCCCTTTGATTCCTTGAAAGGGTTGCAAATGTATGATATGTATGCTCGGTTGAGCAGTCGCATGGTCTGTAAAAAAAAAAAAAAAAAAAGTTAGTATATCAAAGAGCGGTTCCCTGGAATACATACTGTTCGCAGATCGGCACGAACGCTTTCCTGCGCGTCGATGCCGATAAGGATTTTGATGCCAGTGTTTGTAAGACTGCCAAAGACAGCAATGCCGCTATGGACTAGTAAAAGAGCATAGTCTTTTGTAGATTCTGTGTGAGAGAGCTGTGACACAACGTAGTCGAGAGCCATGTGAGAAAGGAAATGGTACTGTAGCAGTTCCTTGTTGGTGGTGAGATCTGCTGTTAGGCCATCTTCTTCTTCGCCTGTAAGATTGAACCCTCGAATGTATAACGGGGAATTCTAAAAAAAAAAAATTAGACCACATATTAAAAAAAAAATACTCTTTAAACTTACGTTGCTTCCAATGACTGAGACGAATCGGATAATGACTGGCATTTGTGTGTGGTCGTTAATGGGGGATGTTGGGACGATTCTGTTTAAAATTACAATGTTGGATGGGGGAGGAATGCCAGATTTTGAGAAGCAAGCCAGCGATATTTTGTAATCATGTGATTAGGTTTTTTTTATTTTTTTTTTTTTTTTTCAAAAATCAGAGTTTCTCCCCCCTCAATCAGGGCTCTTTTCAAAACCCATCTCTTTTTCAAGTCTCAATTGCTCGCATTGTTAAAACATTTTAATAGAAATCTCTATATACTATGTTTCGTTCTAAGAAAACTGTACTTGCTGATATCCCATGTCCTTCGATCCAGCAAGGCCATCAATGCGCCATTCCAAACTGTGTGTTTTCTCATGCCCCGCCGCCACCAGAGAAGAAACGGCCATCGCCAGAAGCCCCTCCAACCAAGGTAGTCAAGAAACAGCGATTACCCAACACCTCAACCGAGAAATCTATTTCTACGAATATTACAAAGTCTGAATTACCCGAACCTAGTTTACCAAGGAAAAATGTACAAGAAACCCTACCTCCTGTGCAAAAGCCAACATCGTCACTCATGTCAAGGCTTACATCGGAAAAGACAGAAGCTGAGAAAAAGCCAATTCCAGATCGAGTCCAAAAACCACCATCAAGTACTGCATCCAAATCAACAGCAGCAAACGCTCCAGCAAAACCAGCATCTTCTAGCCAGCAACCCGAGGTAACGTCTTTCGCTCCTCTCCCAGTGACACCGTTTGCTCCAGCTCCTTACCCCCAACGGATGAGTTTCCTTAAGCATGTTTATGAAGAAGTACGCAAGACCAATAAACGGAACCCCAAAACGGCAGCTGTACGATTAGAGTATAGTGTTGCCAAATCGAGCTCTAAAGTGACATACCCACGCGAGATCAAAGGCTTAATTCTTAGACTTAAAAAGGGTTTGCCGGTCAATGGAGATGATGAGAATAGTGAGGCTGCAAAGCAAAAACAAGAGAAAGCTATGGAAAAGGCTTTAGATGACATGGTGGTGTTACCAAATGTTTTAGAACAAAATGGATTTGCAGTCGAACCAGTTAAGCCTGAACCGGTGCCTTCTGGAATTGTAGTGGACTGTGCGCGGTGTCGAGCTAAGGTCATTGCCGAAAAGGTAATGTCAACTGGACCGTGTCACTACCACTGGGCAAAACTTCCTTATAACAGTAAGTCGTTTTTTTTTTTCATCACTTTGTTATTTTCTAATTTTTTTTTTTAAAGCACACACTAGAAAGCTCTCCAACGTTTACCCCTGTTGTGGAGCAGAAGTTGGCGAGTCTAAAGGATGCACACGATGTGAGCATCATGTGTACCGGTTCATAGAGTTGAATTATCTTGCGGACTATATTCCGTTTGTTTATGCGCCTGAAACCAAGACTGTTAAAACTCTTTTTGCAGCTGGTATCGATTGCGAAATGGGATTTACGTCACATGGATACGAAATGATTCGCGTGACAGTAGTTGATTGGGCCACTGGCAAAACCGTATTGGACAGAACAGTTTATCCGTATGGCAAGGTGATTGATTTAAATACACGATTCAGTGGTATTAGCAATCTGGACGACGGGTTGACAGTGGATGGGGTTTTGTACCCCACATTGTCATTCAAGCAAGCGCGGGACGCGTTGTTTGAGTACATTAACCGGTCAACCATTATTATCGGACATGGATTGGAAAACGATTTGGCAGTGATGCGGCTCATACATACACGGATTGTCGACACTTCTATCTTGTACACGCGCGAAAAATCAAATAAGAAAATGCCGCTCAAGGACTTGGTACAAATGTACCTTGGACGAGTGATCCAACGTGGGGAACATGATAGTGCCGAAGATGCCATTGGATCGATTGATGTGGTACGAGTCAAGATCAAAGAATCGTTAGGATTAACCAAGATAAAAAAAGTAAGCCATTTTGTAAATAATAAATAAGTTATAATAGTAAATTGGGGGGGTAGGGGAGAGGTCATTAAAAGTCATTCATATCGTTAAGAAAAGCCATTTCATCTCTTGAGAAGTAACCGCAGCTTAAGATTTTCATTTTCCAGCTGAGAAATCCGCAGCGACTGGTTATGGAGCTCGCTCTCGAGACTTGTAAGTTTGCCCATCAACAGTTTTTCCATTTCCTTGAGCTGTTGCTGAATCACAATAACCGCCTGGGTCTCCGTTGCAATTTCCGGCAAATCTCTTCTAGTATTAGGGCTGCTTGATTTGGACAGTGGAGGCATTGAGTTACGTGTTTCACGAATTAGTGCTGCCAATGAGTTTTCGTCCAATGGCTTGTGTCCGTTGGTAATCATCTCATCTTCAAACGTCACTTTGCGCCGTTTCTTGTCCATGCGAACGTCATGTGTATGGGCCCTTGTCATGCTGAACGAAGTGGTATCACGTCGAGGGGTTGAAGCTGTTGCAGAAAGGGTGTGGGGGGTTGGTGACGAGTACGAGTTAGAAAAAGAGCGTTTTTTACCAAGTCGTGATGGGGTTAGCGTTACACCATGTGATGGCACCACATATGAGTCGGAAATAGATCGTGTGGGTGATGCTCGTACAGTATCTAAAGTAGCCAAGATGCCCTTTGCCTGGTTCTCAAGTGTGCTCACGGCAGCAGATCGTACTGGTGATCGTAATGGACTTGGTTTATGGGGGCTTGTTGTTGTGTGTTGAGGACTGACGCGTCGTGGGCTTGGAGTGTGTCGAGATAATGGCGGATCCTGGCTTGGGAGTTGTGTTACAATTCCTGTCACTGTGTCCAACCTCTTTGGGCCACCGCTGCCGCTGAGTGGTGAAAGGGGACCCCTTCGTGGAGGTCTTAACTGGACACGACGCGATGGCGATGCAGTTGGAGATAATGTGCCATAGAGACCTCTAGTTGGACTAGTTTCTGAAGTTGGTGTTCTATTATGATGAGGGAAAGTGACTGGAAGAGATTTTGGTTGAAAGTCGAAATCAAAGGGTTTTTTTTGAGTCTTGATCGATTGAAGGGGGGGTTAGAGTTAAGGAAATAAGATGCAGACAAACCAAGTAATGACAACTTACCGAAGAAAGAAGAGGGGACTTTGTTGGAGACCTTGAGTTTGACGGCGATGCCGTATACATTTGTGAAAGATCGGGATACCTTCCGTCCATTGATTGATATATTTTAGTTGTTTTGCGGGTGGATCTTTTCAGTCAAAATCAGCCAAAATCAGCCAAAACACTTTGGAGGTTGGCGTTTTGTGTTTGTTTACATCTCCAAGAGATGAGGTTGGTCTGGTGTGTACTTAACAGTATGTTATATACGCATACACTTAAAAAAATCCCGTGGGGAACCGCCAGAAAAAAAAAAACTTTCTGCCTCAACCACCAACAGAAAAAAATTTTGACTATAAAAACCTCCCCTTCCCTTGAGGATTTTACTTTTTTCTTCTCTTTTTTAAATTCTTTTTTTTTTATTAAAAAAGTATTAATCATCCTTAGGGGTATTCCTGAGGAAGCTAATTAATCAATAATTCTATGAGGTAAGTTTCTTTTTTTTTTTAATAATTCTTTTAAATGTCTCTCTTGTTGAAGTGATGATTCCAAACCACAGCTTGACCCTGGTTGGGGTAGTTCCCGGCCAGGCTCTGGAAGATCTGTTTATAGACTACAACGGTATCTGATCTATCTCAACTTTAATTCTTTTAAATTAATTTGCTTCTTTTTTCAATCATGGTCTAACAATATATCATTAGCATCCTGTAATCATTATGAATAAAGGGACACCAAATAAAGAGTCTTCACAAAAGCCTCAAAATAGGAAACGGTCCCCTAAATTTTCTCAATATGACCGGCCTCTTCCATACTTGGATGTCGTCAAGCTCCCTCCGTTAGTCCCATACAATCCCTTTTCCTGGCTCAACTACGCCGTGGAATACTTTTTCCCCTGCCCACCCCCTGCACCTGCACGCCGGCTGGAGGCCCGCATTGAGCGTGCGGGTCGTGTTGTTGTTGTTCGAGTGGACAATGGGAGCGACCAGGCACGGCTCTGGCGCGAGGGATTTTTCGGCAAGGGCGTGTATAGTAGAAGTGATCCTGCGTGGTTTGCGCGGACGGCGCGGCGGCTGGATCTGGCTGAAGCGGCGGAGCTTGCGTTGACTGCGGAGGAGCGGACGACGCTGCGTAGACTAGAGCGCGCACGCTTTAAAGAGGAGCGTGCGCGCTTGGAAAACGAGCGGCTCGACCGAGTCCGACGTAGAGAAATGGGCGAGGACGTGGAGCTGCTCCCGGACGATGCTAAAGTCGACCGTGCTTTGTTTACCAATACTGGTGCATCAATAAACTCTGAGTTTATTGACAAGCGCTCGGAAGACGAGTTGCTGCTGGACGAAAATGGCAAGTTGGTGTCAGTGGAGTACGTACAACTCATGCCCTACGAGGCCATCTTTTTGTCTGAGTTTCTTCATGTGTTGGATATACGCCTGGGAGACGATAGTGACGAACCGCTCCATGGCTGGGACCTGGTGCGTGCACTGTTGCCTGCAGGCGAGTCTATTTCAGTACTAATTGCAAACTATGCAGCTTATCACTCATTCCGAGCCAAAGGCTGGTGCGCCCGGTCTGGTGTCAAGTTTGCAAGTGATTTTGTCTTGTACCGTCGAGGCCCACCATTCACTCATGCAGACTTTACAGTCACCGTACACCCCGTTGTGCCTGAGGAATCGCAGGGCGATCACCGGTGGTACGACGCTACACGCACAGGCCGTGTTGTAGGAGGTGTGAAAAAGACCATGTTGTATTGCTACGTGGAGGTGCCATCGCAAGACGCTTTTGACGGGTCACTTGCCATACGCGAGGTGCTTGAGAGGTGCAAAGTCACCACTGTGTCACACATTCGGTGGCGGCCCATGAAGTGTCGCGATTAGAAGATATTTGAATGAATAATGATTTGATTTGATTTGATTTGATTCTAATGTACAGTTTTAAATAGACAAGAAATACAGAAACTTTTTTTTTGTTAAATGAATGTTTTTTTAGACCGTTCCCTTGTAGGCCTTATTGACAAATGCACAATCACGGGGGGCAGGATCACCGGGTGCTGGTCGGGAAATGCACACATAGTTTTTCTTGTTGGGCAAAATGCACTTGATCTGAGAGTCGGGCCATAAGCACGGGCAATCGACAGGAGTTGCGACACACGCCAGTGTATCCTGGCACAAGTACTTATCGCAGTCAGCTATAGTGTGAATGACGAGTTAGAAGTGGCTCAATAACAATAAAAAAAATTTTACTTACACTGGTAGTAACTGTCTGAGACCTTGGGGATGGCTGGTCTTTGATGTTGTTGTTGTTGGCGAAACAAGTTCTGGAAAATGTTTTCAAATTGAGCAGCAGCGGGGCCCACAAAGAGCATAAAAGTGAAGAGTGAAATGACGATAGAAAACAGAGACTTCATTGTGTATGATTAGTAGTTTTAAAAAAGATTGAAAGTTTCTTTTGTAAAAAAATGGATTTTGGAGAAAAAAGTGTGTATGTGTGTATGAAATGTGTTGTGTGTTATATAAGAAAATGGTGGTTGAGAAATAGTTGACGTGGTAAAAAAAAAAAAAAAAAAAATCTGAGATCATCACAGTTGCCAGAAATTCTTGGAAAAGCCGTGTGTGGGTGAAAATAAAAAAAATAAAGAGGGTCTTAAAGTCACTAAAACAACATCATAACAATTAAACTCCCATTAAAATACCCATTTTTTTTTTTTTGAAAAAAAAAACCATATAAACTATAATACAAATGAATAAAAAAAAATATATGCATGTGGTCCATAATAAGAAAGTGAAAAGTCTATAATAAATCATCTAATCGTCATCATCATCATCACTTTTTTTTGTCTTCACTAACGATTCTAACGACGACGGCGACGACGCCGCCGCCGCCGAAGTAAACCAAACCCAGCAAGAGCTTCTAGAAACCGCTGCAGCTCATCGCGTGAAACTTCAATGACAGCACTCTCAAATGAGTCCAACTTCACACGCGCATTGATCTGTTCAGCAACCTTGTAAAACGCAGTACCAAATGCATTGTACTGATTAAACTCGTCTTCTTCTTCTTCTTCTTCTTCTTCCCCCTCATCATTTTCGTCATCGTCGTCATCATTTTCCTCCTCTTTCTCATATTCGTCTTTATCTTCTTCATCATCTTCTTCTTCATCATCATCTTCTTCTTCTTCAGTTCCTTCCTCATCACTCTGCTCTTCTTCTTCTTTGTCTTCTTTTTCCTCTTCCTCTTCTTCATCATCATCATCCGAACTCTTGCGTCGTTTCGCTTTTGGTCCACTTTTACTCTTCCCTGCCTTTCTCTCTCTTTTCTTCTTTTTCTTCTTTGACCTCCGGTTCTTGTCCTTCTGTTTGCTCCGCCGCTCGCCCTCTTGCTCATTTTCCTCCCGTGACCGCTGAGGCGTCATACCAAGCACAAGGTATGTGTCGGTAGGCTTGTAGTAAGAAGCAACCACAAGAGGTAATGGTCGTTGTGTCACCTCAGCACATGCATCTGAAATCCATTGTGCTAGACGTGTAAGTGCTAAGGGATTAGAAAGAAGCTCTAGATCTGGACCGTCTTGAATCACAGCTAATCGGTATGCTTGTAAATTTTTGATGCGTCGTTTTTCGAAAAGCTCAGTAGCAGCAACAACAATGTTTTGCTGAATCTGTTTGGCCTTTTCTATGCCTTCCATGAGCTTGTCGACTCTGCTAATAGTTAGTAATTAAGAAAAAAAAAAAAAAAGCACTTGGTGTAAATACTCACTTATCCATGGCATCCCATGCGTTCCAAAAATTGGAAACCCAGAACCGTTCTCTTGCCTCTGCTTCCTCCACATTTTCTCCATTTTCGAGATCTGCCGCAGCTTCAAATACACCATTAGGACCCATCAGCAGCGGCACAGTCTTGCAATTTTCTGCATTTACAAGATGTCCCACTTGGAGCAATGTAATAAGCGCATCCACGCAATCACCTGCAGATAAAGAACCTTTAAATCCAAATCTACGCACAATACCTTCTCGAATCACATCTTTGATATTATATGAAGTCGCCACTTGAGATAACTTCTGCAGCAACGTTTTTTTGACAGTCACGTTGGTATGGACCCAGCTCTCGCGCGCATCGTGAAGTGAAATGCCCATGCGAGCCAGCATTGTTTTCATACGCCGTCGGCCATCTTCTGTGTAAAGCCGCAGCTTTGCCGAAATGTAGGACGAGTGGGCCATAGACTCGTAGAGCGACCAGTGGCGTAGTAGGAAAAAAAGATAGTCTGGTTCCGGGTACAACGAGTCGTCATCACCGGTGATGGTTGAAGGGTTAATGGAGGCATCTTCCGAAGAAGGTTCTATGGATGCATTGCGCATGGCATTGGTATCAATGTGCACAGAGCGCGGGTTGAGCCGCAGCACTTCAGTTCGTAAAACAGGGTATATGATTTGGTAAATGTGCGGGTGCTGAGAGTCGAGCGAGGTAGAGCCAACAACAGCTAGCCACAGACTGGTAATGGTTGTTTTACCTAGCTTGTTGAAAAGTTCATAAACAACAGCAGTAATGGATGTTGACACATATGAACCTTTAGTGTAGTGAGTTTCCAGTGTATGTTCATACCTGCCAATTTTGGCCTCTGTTTTGCGAGCTTCACGTAGACGGTCAATGTGTCGCTTTGGCCGTGGCATATCGTCGTCATCGTTATCCACTTTTTCAATGTCTCCTTCTTCATCAGTTGGGTCATCTTCGTCCTCAGAATCGGATCCTTTATTATCTTGTTCTTCGTACAACTTAAGCAAGTTGATATAAGAGTCCTTCAGTTTCTCCACATAAGACCCATCCTCAGTATCTTCATCGTAAAAACACATGATTTTGTCTGTGGCAAACAGGTTTTCAAGATTCCATGGCCGATGATTGTCTATAATGTAAAACTTTTTATTCACCGTCTCGCGGTCGACCTGGAGGTACGACAAAACATCAATTGTCGCGCCGCAACCCACAAGCACAACAGTGCCAATCTCAAAATCATCTTGAATGGCTGCATACGCGTCACGCATCTCATCAAAGCCAGCAATGGGAACAATTTTGTGCGGGATCAAGTCGGCCTTGAGTAGCTGCGATAGCATCTTGCTTGCACACAGAGCGTCAATGTTGAGACACGACACAAAGATGGCCAGTTTGCATGTTGTGTGCGAAATCGAGTCTCTCCGGATTATGTCATATTGCTGAAGAATCTCATCCAGCGGCACATACATGGTGCGAGATGTGTGTAGTGATAATGGGTAGATGGGCAAATAAAAAGAATGTTTTTCTAAAGTGTGTATATGAAAAAAAAAAAAGGGATTGTGTTGTTGTGAATGTTTTTTTTTTTTGGTGGAAATAAACAGAAGAAAAAAAATAGCAGGTTTGTTACAGGTAAACAAATGACGCGTGTATTACGCGTTTGTTTATTTTTCAGTCAAGACGCGTAATAATAAAAATAAATAATAGATTAGTCAGCTACATGGTTTTTGGTTTCACAACGCGTCATCAATGGCTTCATAAAGCCAGCGTTCTTGGTTGAGCAACGGCAGAGTATTTGCCTTGAGGTATTCGTGTAAAACAGGAAAATATTCTATATAAACGTTAGTTAATTAGTTGGTTAGTTTAAAATTATTTATTCTTGACTTTAATGACGTACCAGCTTCTAAGAGCCTTTTTTCCTCCTCACTTGCAGAAATGTAATGATTGTGCATTTCCTGAACGCGTCTATCGCGCGAAAGTTTGAGAGTGTTTTCGCTCTCATATTCCATTTCCGGGCTGAGTTTGACAGGAGTATTCATGGAGTTACTGCTATAAAGCATGGCCAGGGTATTTGTGTCCGGGATAAAGTCAATGTCGTCTTCTGTGAGAGCCCGCGATTTTATTTGCTGAGGCGTGCCAGGTGGTAGTACTAAAGGCCTATGGGTAGCATTGCTACTAAATGAGGGGATGGGAGAAAAGGTAAATGCGCAATTAGCAGTTGGAGAAATGAGGGGAATAGAAGATGAAGAAGGTGTGTGAGTGTTTTGAGAAGATGACGAGACTGGTCGTTTTGAACGAGAGATAGCAGCTATTCTGGAAGTGGCCGCAGCACGGGCAGCAGAAGAAGATGTGGGTCTTGAAAGTGACGAGGGAGGCCTGCCAGAAGAAGAGCCATTTGAAGGTAGTTGTTGTTGTTGTTGTTGTGATTGCTGCTGTTGTTGCTGCTGTTGATGGTGGTATTTTCGTGGATGACTAGATGGTGCGTGTTTCTTCATCATGCCGCAGAAGTGGATGAATCCAACACAACAAAGAGCAGGTACTTGTGATCTACAATACGTTAGTATATCGATATAATCAAAGATAATCAAAGATAAAAAAACATCATTCTTAATTGAGAAGAAGTTTACGAAGTGAGGATCAAAGGGTATTGCTGGGGTATGAGTGAAAGAAAAAAAAATTACTAACCAGTAATGATTAGAGAATGTGAGGCGTCCGTTTGCAGTCTGAGAAGCTTAAGATGGGAGTCTGAATCGATTGAGGTGCAAAGGTGAGCGCAAGCGTCGACGGTAGCGAGAACGTGTCTGCTAGTTTCTCTGACGTCCTTGATGTTCTTGTGATCTATAACGTAAGCCTTGGGAGAGGAGTCTTGATCTGAGGTAGTTGTGGAAATAGGAGTTGGTCTGCTAAGAAGAAGATATGACGACACGGGGCCCGAGAACTTGATGTTTGCCTTTGACAGATAGTGGTTGATCTTGTCTATAGCTGGGGCCGACATTTGTCGCTGGGAGTTTTTTTTATTATTATTATTTTAGTAGATTTAAAATAGGAGAAGAACTCTCGTTATTAATTTATTTATTAACTTTTTCTTATAATTCTCCACAGAGTCTGTGTAATGTTTGTTTATTTGTTTATTTGTTTATTTGTTTATTTGACAAAACTTCGAGAGAATCTAGCTTGTAGTGTGGTGGTGGTTGTGGGATTATTGGGGGGTGTTAAGAGTATTTTTTTATTGTGGGAGGAAAATAGGCGTTGCATTATAAACCACAACAGTCTGACGATTTTTAGGCACGTGCTGAAATTTACAAAGAAGGTAGTTTTGGAATGAGGCCATTTGATGTAAAAAGAGCAAGCGAGTAAAAAGTTAAGAACAATTTGGGGGAAAAAAAATATAAAAAAAAATAAACTTGTGATGCGATGAGATTAGATAAAAAAACATATAGTATGATGATGATGATGGCATCTCTCAGAAATGATGTCTTTTTTTTTTATTTTATTTACTAGACGAATTGATTACTGAAAATAAACCATAAGCGATCATGCAAATGCGTATCATGTCGTATGGCCATCGCATTTCTTTACGTAAGAAGAGGATGATAGCGAGACATTTAAGAAGAGTTAAAAAAAAGAGAACGGAAGTTTAGAAAGTGAAAAAAACGAAATCAATTTGTTATGGGAATTTGAAAATCACACGAGAGATACCACTTGTTTTTTTTTTTTTGGGATTTCTTTGAGTGTTTTTAAATTGCAATTGCCCAACAAACTGGCTAGGTGGGTTGCAAACACTGCATGAGTGGGAAACTTTTTGAATTATTAATTTTTTTTTTTTTTTTTTCATGGTTAGCTCAAAACGAGAAATACGAATTTGAACGAGCTGGAAATTCAAAGAAAGAAAGAAAAAAAAAACAAGGTGATTTAGTTTTAAGAGTTGCCTTTTCCCAAACAAGCTTTTGGCAATATTGGAAATTTCAAAAGAAAGTTTTTTTTTTTTTTATTATTTATTTTTATTTAAGGACTCAAAGAAAAAAAGAAAGATATTTTAATGAAAAGTTATTTGTTTATTTTTCAGTATTTACCTTGTTGGGATTTTGAATGTAAAAACCAAAAAAAGAAAAAATAATAAAGTTTCAGTGGATTGATTTTTTTGATTTGATTGATTTGATTAATGAGATTGTTACACTGACTGTTACAACTTATTTTTGGACTGACAGATCAGATAAATATTTTGCTCATCATCTAAAAAATCAAATACTTTCCTAATTAGGAAAGTATCTAGCGATATAGGGCCGTGCAACCCCAAAAGAGCAACAATTATCAATTCATTTTAAGACTTTTGCTCTTCGCTCTGGAGTTTCTGGGTCGACCACTCCTAAGATGCAGCGATACCGCTGTGACAACTATTTCTCGATAGTGATCTAGACAGTGTGTATACCTTGATTGACAGTATATTGCGATATATATATATATATTTCACGGACGATATATCGCGATTACAGACACTTTAAAATAGACTTAAGCCAAGGTAATCATAGCGATGCAGTGCAAACCTAAACAAAAAAAAAAAAAATAAATAAATAAATAAAAGAAAGCGCTTTTTTTTATTTTTTTTTTTTTAAATGGTCGTCGTGATAATATTTCTTTCTTTAAACTAAAACAGTTCACTAGGTACTTTATGGATTGTGACAATCTATTTCATGCGTAAGTTTGATAGAAGAAAATAAGGATAAGTTGGATATTAAAAGGCTGTGCAACTTATTTTAAAAGTCCTCACAGTGAGTACTATTTAAAAGACCCCAAAAACTTATTGAAAAAAAAAAAAAGAGGCTGATTGTTATAATTTTGTTTTATATATGTTTTTTTTTCTTTTTTTTTTTTTTTACCCCTCTCATTTCACACATTGAACTAAATATTTGAATGTTTTGGTATTTATATGAAGATATCCAAAAAAAAATCAAAAAAAATCAAAAAAGATTTATGCAGATTTTTTTTTTTTTTGTCAATCACTTGTGATGTCGACAGTAAACCGGATTCCGTGGTATTGATGGGTGTTTGTCAAGATTATCAAAAAATGCTCCGCCGTCGCAGTCCGCGGAAAGATGCCACTTTTACACAAAGGCGGGGAGGGAAGAGGGAGGAGATGTGATGTAAATAAAAATAAAACAAAAAATAAGAATTGCCCAGTGTTAACACGCAAAGTCACGAGACTTTCTATTTAAAATTCAAAATGTAAAATTGGGTGACTTTTTATTTTATTTTATTTTAAATATTTTTTTTTTACATACACTTCCCGCGGTAACTGAGATACAAGAGAGAATATATAAAAAATAAAAATAAAAATAAAAAGAGAAAATAACATGATTTTTTTTTTAGTGATGCATTTTTTAACATCTGTCTGACAAGCAAAAAAGTGTGCAAGAGAAGGTGGGTCTTTTAAATATAAATATAAATGACTTTCCCCCCACCTCCTATGCTCAGCTCTTCTTTTTTTTTTTTCTTCCTTCTCTATCAATATCTTTTTATCAATTAACTATCATTTCAAACTATTCCACTAATACTTTAATCAATCAATCAATCAACAAAAAAAAAACAAATATTCCAACACCGAAATAACCAAAAAAAAAAAAAAAATGTTCTTCACTCGTTTTGCTACCAAGTCATTTGCTCAAACTGCCACCAGAGCTGCAAAGTCATCCTCTCCTAACCGCGCTAGCTCCTTGGTCATGCTCTATATCACTTTTGGTGCAGTGGCTCCCTTCGCTCTACCACTTAAGAGCACCATTTCGGGCCACGATGCTCTCTGAAGTCGTCGTCGGCGCCGGCTGGCCGGTCTTTCTACTTCTCATTCTGCATCTAAAACTACAACTACAACTACAACAACAACAACAACCTCCTCCTCATCATCATCACCATCATTACAGGCTTTGCAATTAAAAAATACTACTAAATCTTTACAGAAACCACAGCCTGGCGCTGAGGCCTGTTCTTTGACTAGCAACTCTGGTACCATCACACTTTTGGTTGAAGTGACGGTCGTACCACTTTTTATGACATTAATGAAAGAATAAAAAAAAATAAAAAATAAACATTTTTAAATTACTGTTTTCTTTTATTTACAGTATATTAAACTTTTATACAAACTTATATAATGAAAAAAATAAATTACTATTCCTCTTTATCAATAATACTATCTTATCTATTTCTTTGTAAATTGAGATTGCTCAAAAGTCTTTTGAACCTTTGTTTCAAATGGGTGGATGATGGCCATCAGTTGGAGTAGTTGATGGGCTAACGGGCTGAGATGGTCATTACTATGTGTGCGGCGCAAAACTTCTTGACGATGTGATTCACGCTAAAGTTTAAGTGCACAAAGTATTTATAAATATATGCATGTAAGAGAAAAAAAAAGAACCATTAAATTGAAAAAAAAAGAGAAAGTTTTTTGAAAATTTGAAAAAAAAAATTTTTTTTTCAATTGTCTACGTGAAACATTATTTATCCACATCTTAACCGGCGTAAAGATAATTCATTTCATTGTGTAATAAGAGAAAGTGGGTATGAAGTGATGGTGATGAAGCATGCATGTATAGAACTAGGATTGATCCAGTTTGAAATAACCTTCTTTTCATAATTTTTTTTTTTAACTGTGATGATTTTAAAAAAGATGTTTAAATTAACATTTTTCAGTTTTTGAAATAGATTTAAATTATCAAAATAAAAAAAAGAAAAAAAAAATATATATATATATATATACATTGCAACATGTCTGGTTCACTTTCTCTCATCCTCCAGGGGTTTTAAAAACAAAGTAAATCGATTTGGTGTCTACAAAATGTCATTAATATTACTAAATAACACAGGAAAACCAAAAGAATGGAAATAAATAAATAAAAACAAACAAACAGAGAAAATAGAGAATATCAATGTCATTGGAGATAGAGTTAATACATGTTGAAAGTGAGCATTGATCAACAAATAAGAAAGGCTCTAAAATGAGCAACGTTACTAAAAGGAGGGGAATGATATGAAATAGGAGCGCGACAATTTGCTGATACTTTTTTTTTTGAGGGAGGGGAGAGAAACAACATTTCCAAAACCAAGCTGGATTGTAAATTGAAAACTATCTGGTGGTGGTTAACCGGATTTTTCTTTATTTTTATTTTTTTTCAGGTTTTCCTGTCTGCTATTCAAAAAATCCAGATTGGTGGTTTAGACGGCAAGAAGAAAGAAAGAAAGAAAGAAAGAAGGGAAAAACCCATTTGAAAACCACTTGATGGTCCACCAACTATATATGAAATGACCGGTTATTGCGCCGTTAACCAGAAAGGTTTTGAAAAAAAAAAAAAAATAATTTGAGAAAACATAATGTTTGGAAATTGAAAATACCGTAATATCTAATATGCCACCTGCTATTGGTGTTTAGTTTTATTTTTCAAAGCAAGTAAATTTATAATATAGTTATCGTTAGTTTATAGTTTGTTTTTAACGCCATTTATTTATTTTTGTTTTTTTTTATAAGTCCCAGTGTTTTTAATTGAAATTAGTACAAGAGGTAGAAGATCGATTGATCATTCACATGCAAATCAAATCATACAGTAAACAATATAGAGTATTAGCAAAAAAAAAAAATTCCATGATAGCAAAGATGACAGTTTATGAAAGTAATAGAAACTGAAATTCTCCCAGACAAATCAACTTAAAAGACAAGATTGATTATCTCCAGGTCACTTTTCCTCAGTTGGCCACCAAGTTAAACAATATTGACAGTCAAAAAGAACCGATAAAAAAAAGAAAACCTCTCTCTTTTAATTCCGATTTTCCCCCTTCTTTAACCTCTTTTTTTTTGTTTAAGGAGAGAAGCTTAAAAAAAAGCATTCAAAACCCATTAGGGGGGTTTTTTTTTTGTAAACGACAATAATCAAATCAATATAAACCAAACCAGGGTACCAAGTCAGTTTTTTTTTGTCCTTTCCTTTTTCCACTCGTATATATACTGGCATA